TCTAGTCTTGGTGAGACCCAATTATTACATAACCAAATAGAATAAAATACATATAATGTTTTCGCCATATATAATCGGGTACATCATTTATTCAGTGGGAGATAAGGTAGTACTAGCTAGTAGATACTTATGGGTAAAAGACGCGTTAAAGACGTATAAAATACGTAGCAATTTGTGTTTAAGATGTTTTAACAACGTCTTGCGTTAACTAGCTATCTTTTTTCAATGGTTAATTTGCAAAAATCATTAATAGAAACCAGGCGGACATCCGCGGATTATAAAAAAAATTTATATTAATATACATAGACCGCAAAAGTATTCGACTATATATGTGAATTTTTAACTAAAAAATTCCCAGTCATTTGAAACTATTTTATTTGACATAACTTACATGCAAAGTGTTGTAATAGTTCATTTGAAAGATAATACTTGATTTTATTAAACTATGCAATAAAAAGATTTTAAAATTAATATCTATTCCATGCTTATTAGTAATATAAAAATACTAACAAATTAAAAAAAAAAAAATGCGATTCTAAGAAGAGGATCTTTCCTTTGAATGTATTTTATCAGTCTTTGCCTAATAAGGAAAAAGTAGAAAGAGACTATTTATTTTGAAGCTCGACCTCCAAGGCTTTTTACTGTTTTCCTTGTTCTCTCTTGGGCACTAAAGCAGTATTTAAAGGCAGAAAATTGTCTCTTTTTCGTTGGAACAAAGGAGCTTAGGATCAATAGAGGAAAATTATAGATCGTGTAAAGTAGCATCAATCCAGCCCATTTTACCAAAAGTTCTATGTTGATTGGAAAGAGGACATTCGTCTTACCAGCTCCACTGGTATAGATTCAGCGCATCAGATGCGAATCGATTCTGAGACAGCTAAATGGAAAACAATTCTACGTGGATTTTTGGATGTGACCCCTATCTTGGCTTCTAGGAGTTTAGCTTTCCTAGGTAGCTTATTATAAGACTCTCTCAATATCAGTTTTAGTTATTTATATATAAATATCGTAATAATTTAATTATAACTATTATATACAACTATATTTGCATGTAAAACAACATGAATGGAAAAGGAAATGGAAACTTTCTTGCCGGTATTGAGATTATTCGTCGTATCAACGATGAGGATGTAAGACACAATCAACAAGAGGGCTTCAGAATGAGTGGCCATTTCCTCTCTCCGTCGTCTCAAAGTGAGTTAGAGGTTGTGGTGGTATCATCAAAAATGCAGCTGTCAAAGAAATCCAGGATGGTATCTACTTCAAAATCATAGTCGATAGTACCCCCATTACATCTCACAATGAGCAGATTTGAACAATGAGAACCTTTGTTATTCGTTTTCTCCTCTATGAAAAAGAAACTAATTGTTTGCAAATTAAAGAGCGATTTTTGTGAGTGTTGAAGCTTTCGAGAAGAAGAAAAAACTCGATATAGCCAAGCTTATCAATAATGTGATTGCAAGGCTAGGTTTGGATATTCAAAACCGTCGAAGATCCTTACTGAAGCAACAGGAGTTTTGCAGCATAGACTTTCTATGACGAGATGGAGCTTTCGTACCGAAGCAATTAAAAAGATCGAGAGAAATACTGGCAGCTTTTAAAAATGCATTGGAAAACCTGAATCTGACCAGTGAGCAGCTCACCCAAACAAAAGCCTTGAAAAAGTGGTAATCATCTTTTGAATTTGTACTGCTAATTACGATTTGGTACAAACCCTGCGGTTAATGACGTTAGCCGTCTTAATCTGAAGCCATTACCATCGATAATGAGCTACGTTTGAATACACAGCTGCTGGAAGATCAAATTAGGGGCTTTTGGTTGCAAATTTTCAAAGAGGCTGTAGCTGTAGCTAGACCGCTAGGATTCAAAACTGAACTCGCTGCTAAAAGAAAGTGGAAGCTAAAGCGCTTTCACAATCAAGCATCAAACACAGCCTATTTTTACGACAGCCGAAAGAAAGAATTCGAGGCAAACGTTTTTAATGTTAGTTCAGATAGTCTTATCTAGCAGATTGATTTAAGGTTTGAGGCAAGCAGGATGCTTAACAATATGTTTTCATTCATATGGTTGGATAATGATGATCTTTCCGTTCAAAATAAAGCTTGCGAACTTGCACAATTTTATGCGAAAGATGTGAACAAAAGTAATCTCATAGAAAAGGTTTGGCGTTTTAATAATGCCGGCAAAATAATTTTTAAACAAGGGAACTGCAGCTACTAAATCAAATCTTCGAGAAGAAACTTGAACCTTTTCCCATACATTTGCATCTTGTTTCAGATTTGATACACTATTTCTGTGTCAGTTGCGGAGGTTGAACGATCCTTAACAATCCTTTGAAGGTTCTTTTGAGATTGAACTTTGAGGTTGATCCTTTGAAGGATCCTTTGAGGTTGATCGATCCTTAACGATTCTTTAGTAAACTAATTTAAAATTTGATTGTAAAAAACTCTCTCCGTTCAACCATAGACTAGGATCGCGTAACTGATCTTTTGATTATTTCTATTGAAGAAGATTTGACTAAGGAGGTGAGCTACGGTGATATCATCGATATTTGAGCGGCCAGAAAAGCTCGAAAAATTCATTTTTAGCGCTTTCTAGAAGATTTTGTCGATTGACTTTTCGTTTATTGTTTTTAAAACTAATATTTTAGTTCATAATCAGTTTTGAATAATAAACCGTTTCTCAATCCAGAAAATTAATAATAACTCAGAAGTACAATGTGCCGTATTAAAAATAGATAATAGCCGCGTTCACAAAACTTTAAATTTTGTAATTTCTTGGTTTGAAATAGGGGCACCGTTTTCCATTTTTGACCTGGGCGCCATTAGCGCTCTCGAAGGCCCTGTATAAATAGATTAAAAGTTTAATTATATGTGCTTAAAATTAGAACTTCAAATATAATACATGATCGATATTATTTTTGATTGCCATCGAATCAATAAATTATTTTTTTAGTTTTGTTATACTATTATTTTTGTTAATAATATTGTTACATTTAATATTTTGTGCCACTTTATAGCAATTAACTGGTCTAACTTCTTTATTTACAAAAAAAAAAAAAAAAAAAAATTGTGCTAAGACTTATTTCAAAGACCATGACTTTAATGACATTTTTGTGACCACCAATGTTCCAAGCAGAAGTGCCTTTAGGGTAGAGAAAATGGCTCCGCTAAGCCATGACTTATATATTTCCATGTAACTATTATTAAAGCGATCTTAATTTAAGAGGAGGAGCAGCAAATAAAGTTATGGAAAAAAAAATTTGTCAAAGTGAAGTTCTTGCACAAATTTGGTCCAGTAAAGTCGGTGATGGATTTGAAACTATAGCTGAGTACAAACAACCAAACAGTGAAAAAGTTAAAGTGGAGTGGGATGCTAAACATGTTCGAGATTAACATGTTTAGCAAAAATTCAAAAAATCTGAATTTTAAAATGTAACGATCAAAACTTATTCTTCCACTACTTTCTCTGCTCCAAGGAGAAAAGGGTTTGAGTGCAATAATACAAGAACAATTTTGCAAGTTTTTTTTAAAACTTATCACTTAGCAAAACAATTTTACCGAAGACAGCTGCTAAAAAGTTTCTCTAAACACTGCCTTACGTCGACTACCCATGACCAAGCATTCAAAGCTTTTTACCAAAAAGAATTTGTATCAGTTGTAGCCTATATTTTGTAACTATCAAATCAATAAAAGAACACAAAACAGTTTGCTCAATGTATTAGATTATCGAATGATATTTAAGAAGTCAAACCTCGTCGCTTAGTTGTTCAATGTTTATCTGAACTCATGAGTATTTTTTTAAACACAAAAAAACAAACAAACGAGTGGTATGATCAGAACCTTTAATAATTGTTGAAGAACATGAAACTTGTAGGTAAAAATCCGACTTGGAAACACATTAGTGTCTTAAACATAAATTTTTGTTATTGTCACGTCACACAAAGATGGGTGGGTGAAGTGGGGGGTGATCTCTAAATTGCGTTTATAAAAATGCGGGGGGACATGGGGGAGAAGGGCTTTAAAAACGCCCAAAAAAGTGTCACGTATCATTTGAACAGCCCCATATTGCAGCATGAAATTACAGCTTTGCGATGTTTGATAGAATTTTAAAACATTGTTTCAGAATGTAATTAGACATAACATATAATAAACTTTTCGACGATATATTTTAGCTAAAGTGTTATGTTTAACTAAAATTGTAAAAGAGCTTAAACATTCAAAGATTGCAAATGACCTTAGATGTTCAAAAATTGTTGCAGGTTTTTTTGCACAAAAAACATTCTTGAGCTGCTTATTGTAGAACTTTTGCATATTTATGCAGCAAAATGCATAATATAATGCTGCTTATTGTAGAACTTTTGCATATTTATGCATATTTATGCAGCAAAAAGCAAATTTAATCGCTTACAATAAGCGTAGATGTATATATAAACTAACCAAATAAATTACCATCAGTAAAATGCACATTCTGTAAAATCCGATATAATATTTTAAAAATTTTCTAGAACAAAACTTGTAAAAAATTACATTTAAAATGTTTGCAAAAATAATAACAATAAAAATGATGACGATGACGATTTTGAAATTTTTCCAAACAAATAAATATGCAAATATATGTAAAAATTTTATTCCAAAAATGTGTAAATATCTTTTTCAAAATAAACAGCAAAAATATTTTTGATAAAAAATCTTCCTGTCATAAGACTTGATCAATGCATCAAGGTGCATGGAATGATTATCTGAGATGATATTATAAAGATGATACCAAAGATGATAATTTTCTATCTAAGCGCCATTATCACGATGACGTAATATTTAAGCACCATTATCACGATGACGTAAAGCATTTAAATAGAAATTCGTTTTATAAAAACTTTCAAATATTCTTTATTTCTAAAATACTAAATACTTATTAAGGATTGAGAATAAATAAAAAAATATATATTAACACACACACATAAACACATATAATACAGATAAATAAACATAAAAAGATACTTCTTAGTAAAATCGCTTCATGTCGTTTTGCTTTTTTTGGTAAAAGTAAAACGATAAACCACCAGCAAAAGTCACAAATAAAAGTATCACCAAGAGCCAGTTCATGGCTTGTTCACGACGCGTTGAAGGTTTAGATGGATCATCAACATGTTCTGAAAATAAAATTTTTTTAGCTCGTTTGATTGTTGATTTTGTTGAGTCAAGGTTTTCAATTTTTTAAAATTTGCTTGATTCTATTCTAATAACATGAATTTATAGTAATATAAATTATAGTAATAATTATAGTAATATTAAGTTATAAAAAAAAATTCAAATTTTTACCTCTATCAGGTTCTGATTCATTTGAATTTGGTATAATATTTGAGTAATCGCCTTCTTCCTCGTCGTTTTCAAGCTCGTAAAATTTCAGGGAAAGTATATCGTGATTATCTTAAGAAAACAAAGAAGGAAAAAAGTATAACCTTTTCTACGTAAGGGACGGACAAAAATTATTTTTTCAATTATTATTATTAATACATTTATTATACTCGAATTGCTATGAAAAAAAAAAAAAAAAAAAGACTACACATTGACAACACATCGAAATATTGCTTGCAACTATTTAATCAACATAAACTATAGATTCATTAGAATCCATTTATTTATAAATTAAATTTTCATTGTCTTTACTGTGGATGTAATTATTAATTCAAGAAAATAAAACGAAAAAAAAAAGATATACATAAACCATAAAAAATAAGAAACTTCTAAAAAAATCAATAAACATAACAAATATTATATTTATAAATAACTATATTAGAGGCTTGAATAAATCAATTTTTATTGATTACAATTTTTAAGGTTTAAAAAATCAACAACAAATAATTTTATTATTTTAATAACAAAACAGATAAAAATGCAGACCAGAAAATTTGTCAGTTTGTTATTAGTGACAACAAATGAGGAAAAAAAAAAAAAAAAAAAACTGAAAAAATGGGCTAATGAGCTACTATATATAAAAGTATAAAAAGAGTGTTTTTTTGATGAACATAAGCAATTTCTTAATTGCACATTGACCAAATTTTATTTGAAAGAAATGATTAAGTTCAAATCAATTTTAAAGAAATATTTAAAATAAAATTTAAATATAGTACTAAACAAAAAAAATATATATATATAAAATATAAAAATATATATATATATATATATATATATATATATATATATATATATATATATATATATATATATATATATATATATATATATATATAACCCTTGAGGATGTTCAAGACCGCGTCACTAAGACAATATCATCTATCAGCCATTTTGATAAAATAAAGCGTCTGCAAACTAACCACCCTCAAAGAACGTCGTTTGCGTAGTGATATAATCGAACAATTCAAAATTTTCAACAACTATGATGAAGTTCATTTTACGATCCCACAGCAACAACTAATTGGGCGTGAGGTGTACAACCTTCGCGGCCATGACAAGCAGCTTGATCGTCAATTCGTAAGAGGATGTGAGGAGAGATCAAACATTTTCACAAACCGAGTTGCGGCCCATTGAAACTCTCACACACAGCACGCGGTAAACGCTCCATCTTTAAATGCATTTAAAGATCGGATTTCGATAAACTGTTAAATCAGCACAGAGACTCTTGGAAAAGTCTCTTCATCAAATTAATAATTTAACGTTTAATTATATACATATGTATATATTTTTTAATTATTTTTACGGCATTATTGCGGTTTAAATGTATAAATTTGATTACTGAATATATCAAACTCAAACTCATATAATATAATATAATATAATACATATATATATATATATATATATATATATATATATATAACTTAATTTCTCCGCGCAGCAGCCTTGCTTGTCAAGGTTCGTGTTTCGGAGTTAAAGAGTTGAGAGAGGGTTGTACCACGATTTACAACAACAACACACACACACACAAAAAAAAAAAAAAAAAAAAAAAAAAAAGTAGCCTCCCCGACTGTAGTGGCCCCCTCGGGCCTTGGGGAGGTAATTAATTATAAAAAAAAAAAAAAAATTATATAATATAAATATATGTATATTATATAATATATTATTACAAAACTTTTTGATAAAAATTTTACATAGTTGTATTCATTTTTTTCTTGTTTCAAGAGTTGTTATGTTGAGAATTTTTAATCTTTTTTTATATGAAATCTTTTTGAATTCTGTTAATAGTTGCTCTGTGTTGCATATTTTCTTTTTCTTAGATTGAAGATCACAAAGGGCGGATTAAGTGATCAAAAATTGCAAAATCTGAAATATTCTCAAAAAAAGCCACAAAAACACTGTTTTAATGAAAGGGTATATTTCGAAAATTTAAGAAAAAACAAAACAATAAATTTATGACTGCAAAAGTAATAACAGTCAAAACTTACATAGTTTTTTTTGTTTAAACACCAGCTAATTCAAGTTTTATGAATAACTATGGCTTTAGTCTGCATTGAAACCTAGAAGTCATTTTTTTGATCATTCAAATCTGTTGTCTAAATCAGAATTAACTGTATTTGATTATACTTTGCTCCTAACTTTTGCTATTATTTTGATGTTACCAGTAGACATTTTTATTACTTTTTTCATATTTTCTGGTAAGTAATTTATACATATCATGAATAATTAAGCTCCTAAAATTGATTCTTGGGGCATATGGCTGAAAAATAACATCTGTGTCAAAAAAATATTTTGAACTTTTAAAGTTGTTTTTTAAGGCTTATAAATCTTTTGATCCATTTCAACAGTTCGTCTGTTATGTAAGTTAATGTCTGTTATGTAACAGTTCGTCTGTTATGTAAGTTAATGTCTGTTATGTAACAGTTCGTCTGTTATATAAGCTGCTAGTTTGATAATTCTTATCAAACTAAATAATATCAACTGGGTTACTATATGCTAAAGCTCTTAATATAAATCTAGTTTTTCTAGCAAATTTGTAGGGTAAGATTGTCCTCTGACAAAGCCATTTGGACAGATGCTAGATTATTTGATTATAGATGATCTATTTTTTTCTTTTATCTGAATATAGATGATCTTTTTTTTTTTTTTTTACTTTCGAGAATTTTGAATAGAATAGATGCCAACGATGTCAATTTCAAGAATTTTGCATAGATTAGATGTCATGTCTATAATTACTGTTATTTTAACTCAATTCGTTTTGTATAGCAGGCTGATATATATATATATATATATATATATATATATATATATATATATATATATATATATATATATATATATATATATACATATATATATATACATATATATACATATATATATATATATATATATATATATATATATATATATATATATATATATATATATATATATATATATATATATATATATATATATATATATATATATAATCTTTTTGCTGATATAGCAATGATATTTAAGATATAGTTATGGTATTTTATGGTGCATTTCAACCATAATATACCATTAAAAAAAAATGGATTTCAAAATTTTGAAATAAAATTTGACCCTGAAAAAAAAAATACAAAGCAAAATTGAACTAGAAATGTAATTTGGTTCAACCCCACAAAAAGCCAAAATGTTTCCATTAGAGTTAAAAATCAAAGTTAGCTACAGTTGCACAATAACACTTTGCTAAACAAAAAAGAAATTCTAAATGAAAAAACAACAGAGTATTGTAACTGTAAACAAAAAAACAAGTGTTCAATGAGTGGAAAATGTTTACCAAAAATTGTGATATATAAATGTGTTGTTTTCTTTAAAAATGTACCTGGTAAACAATATATTTGCTTAACATAGGGTGAATGGAAAAAAAGATCTTTTGCCAACCATAAGCAACTCTTTTAAAATAAAAAGTATTCAAAAGACACCATGCTGTCAAAATACATACGAGAGTTAAAAGATAAAAATACTGATGATTTAATATTGAATGGGTTTGTCTCTAAAACAGCAAATGCATATAATATTTCCAAAAATTGCATATTATGCCTACAAGAAAAATTTGAAATACACATTCAAACCAAGATCGTTTATTAAACAAAAAATTGGAATTGATTTCTAAATGGAAACATAAAAATAAGTTTCTCCTACAAAACTATAAAAATAAGTAAGCTCAAAAAATAACTATATTAAAAATATATTTATAAAACAGCAGAAGTAAACAATTATAAAAAGTGTAGCATATGATGGCATATGTTGTACCGTTAAAAAATGAAAACTATGTTGTATTGTTAGAAAATAAATACTATGTTGTAACATGTACTATGTTGTAACATGTACTATGTTGTAACATGTACTATGTTGTAACTATGTTTTGTACCATGTGAAACCATGTTTCACTTATACTATGTTTGGTTCACTTTTATTTACGAGAAGTTTGAAAGACATTGCATAGGTACATATACATTTCAATTTATTTTAACTTTAATTAAAATTGAATGGTGACCTGTGAAAAAATATTGCCAAAATACTAAACAGCTTGCTCAGAATAGCTTTGGAAAAAAAATTGTTAATTTTTGACAAGACTCTCTTTTCAGCATTGTTTAAATTGAGCTACTTTAGTGAGGCTGTTTTAATTAATCTAATTTAAGAAAAAACAAAACAATAAATTTATGACTGCAAAAGTAATAACAGTCAAAACTTACATAGTTTTTTTTGTTTAAACACCAGCTAATTCAAGTTTTAATCTAATTTGGCCTAAGCAATTTCAATAAAGCGCTAATATATTTTGTTGAGGCACTGAAATTTCAATGTTTGAAATATTCAAATACAATTAATGTTACAACTAATTTTCAAAAAAATACAGTGTTTATTCAACATGACTTTGTTTAACATGTTCACTATCAAATAATATAGGTGATATTACCTGAAAGATCACCAGTCTGAGCAGATAAACCAAAATAATATCCAGTTGGCATCTCAACACCATATTTGTCTAAACATTCCTTCCAAGAATCATCATTATCTATATCATATTGCACCTAAAAAGAATAAATAAATACACTTGTTATAAATAAGTAAACAAAAGAAATACACTTGTTGTAAATAAGTAAATAAAATAGAGCTTTTTTAATTACTCACTCATAAGATTCAAAATTTTTTTTTGAATTACTCACTTGAAACTCACTTAAAAATGCTAATGCTGCAGACAGCTATCTTACTAATCAGAAAATATTAAGAAAATGGATAAGAAAATGAGAGAAGAGAAATCCTTGACCAAAAAATTATTATTACATTAATGAGAAAATGTTTTTTGAATATATAGAAATATTCACTGTGAAATAACAGTTATACAAAAATGAATTTTGCAGAGATAAAGAATAGATGAAAGCTTGTTAGAGTAGAATTCGTGGATTAGAGAAGAATCATGGTAGTAGTTTTAACCTCATAGTATTATTTGATATTTAACTTAAACCTTAAAATAATATAATACAACAATGAATGTAAATTTTATGATTTAAAATAAAAATTCACACATCCCCAAAAAAACACAAGCTTAATATGTTGATTCAAATTTTTGTTTTAAATATAGAGTTGAAAATGGACTTTAAAAAAAAAAACACTAACTGTTAATCTTTTTTTTGATCCAAGATATCTAATAGCAACATGTGTTTCGCCTGCAACACCACGGAAATTAACCTTAAGAGAAAAAATGTTCAAAAAATAAGCAAAACAAAAATTAATTGACTTACAATATCAACAAAATTTTAAAATCATACTGAACAACCCGCAAGCTGTGTGTGTGTACCATCACGATCATGATCATAATGCACTGAACCATTTGAAACTTGAGCAGAAATATAAGGATGTTCATGCTTAAATAAATTATTTGTGATTAGTAAATTTTTGGTAATAATAATAATAAAGGATATCATTTCCTTACTATTTCTACTAATTCTATATATTGAATATAACCAGGATGCGGAGTTCAAAAAGGACGCCGGATTTCACAAAAAGATTACTTCTTTCTAGTATTTGGAATCCAGGAGCTTTAAAAATATAAAAAAGCATATGGGCTACTAATGGGGAAAAAATCAAGACTTATAGGTTAGAAGAACAATCAATTTTTGAACCTAGAGTCCTTAGGTAAATGGCGTCAAGGACTTCAAGACTCCAGGACTTCGGACTTAAAAACAATAAGTTTCAAGTCATTAAATACCATAAATTTTTTTCTTATAGTAGATCATTAACCAACCAAAATGTTTAGAGCTTCTGGACACCAGAGACCTTGAAAAAACATAAATTTATTAATTAGTGAAGAATCCTTTTTGGACTCCAGATCCCTGAATGTAACTAAAGGGTAGAGCTGAATGCTAAAGGGTAGAGCTGAATGCTAAAGGGTAGAGCTGAATGCTAAAGGGTAGAGCTGAATGCTAAAGGGTAGAGCTGAATGCTAAAGGGTAGAGCTGAATGCTAAAGGGTAGAGCTGAATGCTAAAGGGTAGAGCTGAATGCTAAAGGGTAGAGCTGAATGCTAAAGGGTAGAGCTGAATGCTAAAGGATATAGCCTGATTATAACTAAAGAATATAGCCAAAAGGATTTAAGGATATAACCAACAAATCATTTATTTTGATAAATTATAATATTGCTTTCCTCTATCCATTATTTATTTATTATTATTTATTATTTATATTATTATTATTATTATTTATTAATTCACTTTTAATTACTTGATTTTTATATTTAATTACTTTATTTACTTCTTTATACATAATTATGCCAATAAAGCTGTTAATTAATAAATTATGTTGTTGTTACAACCTTCTCTATGTTGTTATAATCCTCTAACACTTCTAATACACAAGCCTTGAAAACAATATCATTGCAAAACAACACAAAAGCAATCTTAGTTATAATTTGGCTAAACTATGCGGTTCAAACTTTAAAAAAACATACAATTTAACGAATTTAAAAAATCAATGTTGGATTATATATCATAGATATGTTGAATTAAAAGTTTTTTCATTTTTAATGTTTTGAAAAATTATGGATTAGGGAGAGGATTGATTTTGAAATAATGAGTATGCAAAGGGAAAGGGGATTGTTGAAAGCATACAGTTGTGTACAAAAAGGAGGGAAGGGGGTTCTAAATCAGTGTGTATGTACTTTATGGATGCCCCCTAAGTAAATATATTGATCAGAGTAAACAAGTCATTTAAGTAAATATATTATTCACAGTATATAAATTATATTGGTAAATATTAAGTATTAAAGTAAAAAGTATTTATTGTATTTATAGTAGTTATGTATTGTATTTTTACAATATAAACAACTATAATTTATGTTTTAAGTTCAAGAAGTTGCATTTAAGTTATATATCAAAGACAATTGGTGACTTAAAGAGGGGCAGTTAAATTGCTATGCAGAGAGAGAGTTTTAGATTATATAGGGAATCTGTGAGAGGAAGTAAGGAAGTGGGAATTATGTAGAAATTTAAAATTTGGAATTTCAGTTAATTGCTCAATTTATAAAGTTGAGCAACAAGCAAATATTATACAGCTAGTTGTAAATGAACAAAAATTTAAAATTTTGCCTAAGCAATAAAACCAATTATATTTTAGTAAATAAATGGTTTTTTATTCTCTTAAATAAAAAAAATAATCAGTGTAAAAGTGTGTAATATAAATATAGCTTATACAAAATAAATATAGCTTATATAAAACAGCTTAAAACCTCTACCTAAATCTTTAACTTTTGCATTTCTAATAATTCAAATAATTATTTGAAAGATAATGAAGATAATTTACTTTTTTTCTTATCTTTCTATTTTATATTTAATACTTTTATTTAATATTTATTTTAATCCATATTTTTAATTTGCTTTAGATATTTCAAAAAAAATGTTAGTACTACCAAAGAAAAAAAAATTGTATAAAAATAAATAAAAAAAATTATATTAACTTATCTGTATCTTATTACTAAAAAATTATATATTAAACAAGTCTTATTTTGGCTGTTTTTCTATAAATAAACTCAAATATTGATATAGAGACACCTTTTAGCACAACTCTTAAATAGAGGATGTGCCCTCTATACCCCATAAAATCACAAATGTCCTTTATTCTACATCAATACTACCAATTATATTATTGTTACATACTTACATCAATTTTAAGACCACATTTTTAGTACCACTGTCATTACCATAATTACTTTTATCTCTATCTATTATCTATATATTATCTCTTCTTTTATCTCCTTAATTGTATTATCTTTTATATTAACTATATATTATCTCTTCTTTTATCTCTTTAACTGTATTATCTCTTCTATAACTTAGTGCTCTCTTCAATTTCTAACTTAATATTATTGACCTTTAAAAACATGAAATTAACCTGGTGTTCACCGTTTTGATTAGCATAAGTATCAAAAAACAATGCCAATCCTGTAAAGTAGTCTTTATTACCAAAAACTGGACCTATAAAAAAAACACACACACAAATTTGAGTAACTTGTTATATTAAAAATTCAATTTTAACTGAAATAATTAAAAAAACAAACTAAAAACTAAAACTTTTTTAACAATTATAAGGAAAATAAAAACAAAACAAATGTTTTATGTAGTGATGCACCAATGCTGATTAATCTGCATCAGTATCAACTTAAACACTTTTTGCACAATTGTTATTGTTATTGGTATTGGCTTTTTTTTACTCATTAACATATTTTCTAACTGATTGTTTTTAAAAATATTTTAATCCTGCATTATGAAAATAGTTAAATGTTAAATAAACCAAACTCTCTTTATAAATAATAAAGGTATACCTTTTATAATTGAGACAAAATTATGCAATTTAATATATATTTTACTTTCAAAATATTAGTCAAATTTACTTTTAAAAAAGCAACAATCAATATTATGTAAGTTGGTAACTAACAAAAAGCAAAGAAGAAAGTTAAATAACAAAAAAAGAGTTGAGAGAAGACTTTCAAAACTGTAAGCTGCATAAGTGAGAAAAACAATTGTGCAACAAATTGAAAAACATTGTGCAACAAATCAATAAATTCAAAAGTACAACAGTAATTTAACTTAACAAGTTTATTATGCTAATCATTTACAAGATAGTAATAATGAATGAAATAAAGTATATAATATATAAACTCTACTCTTTAACATCTGTAGGGCAGTCGCCTTTTTCAGTAATTAGCCACTTGAAAATATTACTATTAAAGTCTTTAAACTCAACAACATACTTTTCAAGTTTTTTCAAATGAGTAATTTTTTTACTTTTGAGAGGTGCTTTGCCTGATGGATGTTTTTCTGTAAGCAAAGCAGGTGGAATGTCGGTAAAATTGGCTAAATTTATTTTAAAAACTAAAATTATTAACAGTGAAACCATTTACACATTCTTTTGTTTATATTTTACCCAAATCCATCATATTGTAATCAAATTGAAAAAATTTTGTTATCTAGAATTTCTATATTTTAATACTTTTTTGCTCACCATAACTTAAAGAAGAGAATATCTGTGGCATTAATCATCTTATTTTTTGAGCTCTAATGATGAACTCTGCATTTTGCTCAGCATAGTAAACTCAATCAAAACAATGGCTCAATCTTTTTTATGCTTCCAAAGTCTCAATCGCAGAGTAAAAATGAATGAAGCCTGATTGGAAAATAATTTGTGATGTTTTGGAAGACCTTGTTGTCTAACCATACCGTAAAAATCTTAATAATGTATAATTTTTGCTCTGTCCACCTTATGAATCACTAAACAAAATAAGGTTTTTTGCTGTTAATGGCAATTTGTTCTTCAAATAACTAAGAAACAATTTGCAAACCTTGTCTAAAGACTTTCTCCTGTGTTTCTCCTATATGTAGAACTTTGTTCGCTCATTTTTAAACCCCTAGCTAGGGGTTTCCTGGACAGGAATGTTTGGAAGGGCCAAGTTTTGCATAAAGTCATATGACAATATAGCAGTTGAATTCTCTTATTTTCTTTTATTGTTTTCATTTCTTGGTAAAAACTTTTAGCTCTCTTTTTGGGAAGCATTATTTTTATGAAAGCAGCCTTTTTAGCATTTTAATTCAGTAAAGGTGACTTAATTTTGCAACCTAATTTTTTGCATTTATTGCAAACATCTGTTTAGGGTCAACCAAAGCAAAAATTTTCTTTGAAATATCTTCTGAAGAAAATATATGAAACTTATATTCCTAATGTAATGTAATTGCACCTTTTCACTTTTTATTTTCTCTGTCGATATCCATTATATCACTATTGTCAGACATGATTTATACTAGAAGAAACCTCACAAAACATGAAATGTGTTAATTGGTCTGTAAAAATTACATGTGTGCAACACATGAGTTGTTTTTACAGATCATGTGAAAATCACCTACCAAGTTGTTTTTTTTAATTCCTAATAAAATACTTCAAATAAAACAGCAAAACAAACAATCTATTTATATTCCAGATACAAACCTTTTAAATTGTAAACCAATCAATTTAAATAAAATTGGCAAAACTTTCATTTAATTATCATTTTTTTAAACCAAACTACAAAGTTTGAAAAAAAATTGGCAAACTCTGCATTTTTTTTTTCAGCCAATTTTACGTACATTTGTCAAAGCCTGTTTTAAAATTTTTGCCATTCTGATACCAACCTAAATAGGTTTTCTTCCAGCATATTTTTGACGACCTTATCTTTCCTAATTCTGAGAACGGATTTTGTCATACTTATAGTCCAACATATGTTCATATGACATACACCATTCTCATATGACATACATCATTCTAGTAAGATATACATTAGGGGGAGTCAAAAAAAGTATATTTTACAAACAAAAAAAACATACCCTTTAAATTTGGGGCAAATATCTTAAAAACAAACCTCAAAAAGTTTGAGCGCTCCCAGACCACTTTTGACCCCCCCCCCCTTAAGCCCAAAATTTAAGGGAAAAAGGACCGAAAAGTGGCCATTTTCGGGCGTCTTGAGGGAGAGATTATATTTTTTTTTTTTTCAAATTTTTTTTTTTTACTTACTATATGAAGGCATACATTTTAGTTTAAAACTGTATGGTTTTTTTAATACCCCTCAAAAATGTTTGTTGGTATTGAAAATCATGAAAATTGGTAATTTTTTGCATTTTCTTTTGTTACGCATATTGTTGTATAGTTATATTTTGGTACAACTTCTGAAAATTTTAAATTTTACATTTTTCTAATAGTTTAAGATTAGTACATAAAATAAATATATTAGAAATGAGTGAAGCTAAACTAAGGTCAATGAAAAAGGAACATTTTATTATAAAAGAGGCAAAACCAGCTATATCAGGTAGAAATTTTTTTTTAATAATAGAATTAGTAATGATTCGTTTTTGGAATTATTAATGAGACGTTTTCCAAATGGTTCATTGAAATTTTAATATCTTTTAATTTAAATATACAGCTACCAACAGGCTGGGATATTCTTCAACACTTAATATATAACCAGCAATTTCGATCTGCATCAATATCTAATATAATTGCTTGTCGTCTTAAAAAAAAATTTCTTAAGATGCTCAGATAGTTGCTGTGAATGTATTTTATCTAAAATCAAGAGATCCTGGATTAAAGCTGGATTTGATGTGTTAACTGATTTAGTTTTAGTTAAGAAACTTTTTAATTTGCACAAGTCTTATTCCAACTTATTCCAAAAAAAAGCAAAACAAGGAACTTGTGGTGATTTGGCTAAAAAAAACAAGTTTGAGATTGAAATAAAAAATTTTTTTTGGGCTGGTAATTCTAATCTCAAAAACATGATCAGTCAAGATAAAAAAAGATCCCTTAGAGACAAGATTGAAGATTTAAAATTTCTTGAAGATCAGGAAGGTCAAAGAAAGTTTGTTATTGGTTCAAAAGATATTAAGTATAGAAAAAAAATATTCAATGCTTTTAGTTCACTGCTTAAGCTTTGGTTTAATCTATATTACTTTATTCTCTTTTCCACTAATTCTAAAATTAAAAACTAATACTAAAACATTTCTATAAATTAGGCAAAAGAAAGTATAAGGAAGAAAAATTGTTCACAACCTATAAGTTTGGGAGATAATGTACCCAAGGTTGAACTTATAGACACAGATCTAAGCGAGGATTCTTCAATTGAATCTGATTTTGATCCAGGCGATTGGTATCACATAGAAGTTTCTGAAAACCCAGACACAGTAAATGCAAAAATTCCAAAAGATATTTTTGCTGGTAATGTTTCTCTTACTGCCACAGCCTGTGATATATCACCAAATGTTTTACAGACGGTAACAAATGCAATTCTATATCAATCAGGTGTTGACCTTAAAGAAGTTAAAAGCAGTCAGTCTACCGCATATAGAAAAATGAAAAAAGAAAATGAAAACATATCAACAATTGCAAAAGAAGATGTTAAAGTAGCTATTGATGCATCTCCATATCCATGTATAATTCATTTTGACGGCAAGACATTGTTTGAACTAAACAAAGGAAAAATATTAAAGACGGATAGAATGACGGTTTTAGTTAACATTAATGGAAATTCTTACCTACTTGGAGTACCTCCGCTGTTGTCATTCACCGGTGAAGATCAATTTTGTGGTTAAATAGATTTAATTAAAGAATATCAACTTACATCAAAAACTCGAGGAATATGCTTTGATACAACATCATCCAATACTGGAACAAATAAAGGGTTTGTTTCAAGAATATCTAAAGAACTGGATAAATATCTGCTCCAAATAGCCTGTAGACATCATGTGAATGAACTAAGAATGCTTCACTTCTGGAAATTAGTGACCAATGATAAAACGAATAGACCTGATAATCCTCTTTTCAAAAAATTAAAAAATATTTTTGATGAACCTAATTTAAATTATAATTCAATTTAACTCTTACGGTTTGATTGGAATAACGTTAAAAGCAATCTTTTAAAGAAGACAGCTGAGAATTTATTAACATTTTGCAGACCTTACATTGGTAAACCAGGTATTAAAAGAGATGATAGAAGTGAGCTTGCAGAATTAGTTGTCACCTACTTATCTCCTATTACCTATAAAGTAAGAAAAACAGGTGCTATTCACCATGCAAAATTTTTAGGAAAAGTAATTTATTATCTAAAACTTCAACTTCTATCCAACCAACTTACATTTGTTCTAGAAAACGATAAACTAAAAACTGAAATTAGACTTATTACATAATTTATTGTTTGCTTTTATGCAAAATGGTATTTACAATGTGAGGATGTCATTAAAGCTCATTTTCTTGATATTACAGCCATACATCAAATGCATCTGTACAAGAAGGTATGTACAAACCCAGATGCTGTTGATGCTGTATTGGAATCTCAGTATAAATATTGTTGGTATTTGGAGTCAACAATAATACCTCTAGCTTTGCTAGATGATGATTTAACATTAGAGGAGAAGACAAAAATCGCATCACCAATTCTTTTATTTGACATGCCTTGCTCTGACTATTATAAGCCTGAGAACAAAGTAAAACAAGATATCAAGAAAATTTATAAAATGAATACAAATATTGGAAAAAAACCACCATCCTTGTCTGTCTTAGTTGATGACTTTTCTTATCTAATTTTTGACATGATTGATCTTGATAAGCAACAAGTTAAAGACTGGCTCTCATTTCCACCAAAATATTAGCATACCCAATCTTGCTTTAAAAGTTTTCAAAAATATGCTGAAACTTTGATTTTTGTAAATGACCATTCAGAACGGTCTATAGGTATGATGGCATAGTATATTCAAAGATATTTGAATGAAACTGAAAAACAAAACAGATTGCTCACTGTAGACAAAGTTGGATCTGTATTCAGATCACCAGAACAAAAATCTAGTAAAATTTCAAAGATTAAGTTAAATAATGGGCTTGGTGTGATGCAGAAAAAGATAAAGAGATAAACCTGATTAATACAAATGTATTGAGTTTTTATCTGTTCTAATATTTTAAATATACAATTATCTTTTTGTTTATTTATTTCAATAAAGATAAATATTTTCAAAAAAGTTGTTTTTTGATACACCCTACCCCCCCCCCCCCATAAAATACAAATTTTCATGATTTTTAATACCACGAAACATAGATTTTTGAGGGTTAATAAAAAAACCATGCAGTTTTAAACTAAAATATAGGCCTTCATATAGTAATTTAAATATATATATATATATATAACCCCTTCCTCAAGATGCCCGAAAATGGCCATTTTTCGGTCCTTTTTTCCCTAAATTTTGGGCTTGAGGGGGGGTCAAAAGTGGTCCAGGAGCGCTCAAACTTTTTGAGGCTTATTTTCAAGATATTTGCCCCAAATTTAGGGGGTATGGTGTTTTTGTTTTGAAAATTTACTTTTTTTGACTCCCCCTAATATACATCATCCTCAAATGACATGTCACATGAGGTCTGATTCTGAGTTTATACTGAAATAGGAGGCTGGTGGCTTCAGTACAAAAACCAAATAAAATAAGAAGATAATGTTGCTAAATCAACTTTTTGCAAATAAACTGTTTGAATTAAGGCGCAAAAGAAAAAGCAGAAAAATACATATCTATATATGCTATAGTGTAATATATCTGTGGATCATTCAACAGATATGATATGTACATATCAGACAGAAGGTAATATGTAGATTTTATAAACTTTCAGAAAAGAAAGTTTAAAGGCTTAGAATGCAATGAAAAATACTATTTTAAATGAGATTCATTTGAAAGGCTCATAAGACAAACCATAAAACTCCACTTTTTGCAAATTTCTTAGCTTTGATCATTTCTAAATCGACACTTAAGGACTTATTAAAATAAAATATTCATGTTTTTGGTATTTAATACCAAAAACAATGATAATAATATTAAAAAAAAATTAAATCAAAAATATGAATAAAAAAAAAAGATTTTTCTAGGAGTTCTTAAGTGCTGATTTAGAAATTATCGTAACTAAGAAATTTGCAAAAAGTGGAGTTAAGTGGCTCATAAGCCAAACCATTTATTAATTTATGTTTGTAATCAATAACTTTGAATGAATTAAAATGTTAATCTATAATACATAAGTTTTTCAAAAGATTATAGGTCAAAAATTAAGAATTTTTTACAAACATTAATTTTTTTTTTAAATTATCAATATATCAACAAATAAAAATTGTAAGAGTAACCTTTTTTATAGGTTACTTTTATAATTTTTATTTGTTGATAATTTAAAAAAATGTTGGCAAAAAATACTGTGTTTTTAAAAAGTTTTAAAATATAATTATTTTAGAATAAATCGTATATTAAAAGTTAATTAAAAACATAAAACTGATCTTTTAAGTAATTTATAATTAATGAAAACAATGAAATTAGCCCTTTCTATAAACTAACAAATAATTTAAAAATACAATAAAAGTAAAAAATAAAACAACTAATGGTTAAAAAACCACCATTAATTAAAGTCTATAAATGTTTTTAATTTTTGGTAAAAGCCAAGTAAATAGAATTCTATTTTTATGGCGTCATGTATCATGTAACAGTAATAAAAACAACAAACCTTGTTTTTGTTTATGAGATGGGGTGGGGTGGGTTGATAGGTAAAGGTCTTGTATAACAATTGGTTAATTCTATAGAATACGCTTTCATATTTTTTTGTTTAACTCTTTTACGGCACTGTGTAAAGTCTAAGAATCTAAATGGTTCTTCTGGATTGAGACTATACTTAAACTGCAAATCCATCTTACATGAAACCAATTTAAATCAGCATCTAATGCTTTCTTAGCCAGTGAAGTACTTACAAAATTGTTAATACTTATATTATATGTAAAGTGCTTACTTAAAATTAAAAAATGTGGTCTTGTTTTATTTCAATAACTTTAAATAGTTGCTTGCCTTTTACTTAACAAATTGATTACTTAACAAATTGATGTCTCTTAGTATAATTGTAGGGTTGTTGGAATATTTTTTTGCTCTTTCTATTTTTTCATGATCTACATCACACTTCAAATGAATGTGCCCTGGCAGTAAAAATTTTTGGTCTATTACTTGCAATAATCAAGAACTTGCAGCAATTACACTTAAAATTGCAGACATTAATATTTCTTGTCCTCCACAATTTTCAGAGTAAGCGATAACATTGATTACATTGTTAGGCAAATTTAAAATTTTTTGGTACAGGCAAGATGCTATATCATTAGATCTTTTTCTGTTAATTGTCTCGTGCCACATATAGTATTCAGCACTTTTATTTTCTTCAGAGAGAGAGAGAGAGAGAGAGAGAGAGAGAGAGAGAGAGAGAGAGAGAGAGAGAGAGAGAGAGAGAGAGCTGAAATATCTAGAACTTGCTTTAAATCAAATACTAAAACTCTAATACTGCTAAAAGCTGAAGCATTGATTTTATCTTCCTTTTTTTTTGATGTGACCTAAATGTTGTTTTATATTGTTGCTGGAGTAATCTGTTATTTTTTATCTCTACATTGGTTAATTTGTAATATAAAAATGTCACATATGTCCAGTTTTAGTTGTTTAAACATAAAACCAGTTTCATTAAAAACATTTAAACATGCCATGTGATCAACATTCGTTACCATTTTTCTCAATTTTATATCCTCCATACAACTTTTTAAATATCGAAATTACATAAGGGACAAAATTTATTTGATTGCCACAAGAATAGTGGCCTGATATTTAGAATATTTTTTAATGTGGTTTCTCATCTTCTTTTGTCATTTTATTATGTGTTTCGTGATGACCACGATTATTTAGTAGTTGTAATATATCTGAATCACTAAACCTTTTTTTATGTACAATTAAGTCAATTGAAGGTACACATTTTGAAGTATCTTTTATATATACTGTTTTTCTTTTTTTTTTTTTTTTTTTTTTTTTTTTCTGTTTCTGTTTGTATCACTATATGAGTAACTTAACGATAATAATTTAGTCCTTAGCAAATTATCTTAGAAATATTTTTTTTCATAGTGCACTAGCTAAGTGCAGCAAGAAAAGGGTGCTTTGATAAAATTAAGGCATTTTAACACTTTGCTGCTTTATTTTTGTTTAACAGGTTACAATTTTCTTTACTAGAAGCCAAGTAAGTTAAAATTATAGAATAAGTGTTATTTAAGTATTGTTACTACAACCATGTCTTAAACATTTTTTAAAAACACAAACATTGATAAATATGACCACTATGCAGAGAAACAACTCAAATGCAGTAATAACAGAGATTTGATGGGTTTTGAACTCCTGACCTTTTTTACTAAAAAATTGTTTAAAAGTTACCACAAAAAGCTCTGATTATCTAGGAAAAGAATAGTTTTTATTATGAAAATGCTTAACTAAATGCATAGTCAAACTACACTGGTAAATATATTTTAACTAACAATAATAACAATGACATCCAACTACTAAAATTAAATTGCCATTGTCCGATTGTTTTTTATTTTGTTATTTAACTTGCATGGGTTAAGAAAATTAAAATTGCAAAAAAAAAAATCAATCAATTAATTAAAGCCTATAATCACCTTGCAGAGCACGTTCTTTTGAATACCAAAATGCAAATCCATCACCATACAAACGAGTGCCATGACCATGAATTTTAAAGTTAATATGTATCTCCCAATTGCGTATATAACATGGCTGAAATTTTAAAAATTTAAAATTTAATATTTATGTTATAGTTAGTACTAAAAAGCAACAGAAAAGAAATTATTAAATTAATAATTAGCTTAAATTATCAAGCCTATCTAATGTTTTTTTACATATACACACACATAAGAGTGAAATATGATCAAAAAGCATTTAGCAATATTGAAATTACATCATATTTTTTAATATTTAATTCACCTTACATATCAATTATAAATATTATATATTAAAATACATATTTTGCTGTAAAGCTTCTGACTACTCTTTTTTGTTCAGTACCCTGAATTAGCACCTTGTCACAAGTAACTTCATAACTGAATTACCTTTCAATTAGCACCTTGTCACTAGTAACTTCATAACTGAATTACCTTTCAATTAGCACCTTGTCACTAGTAACTTCGTAACTGAATTAGCTTTCAATTAGCACCTTGTCACTAGCAACTTTGTAACTGAGTTACCTTTCAATTAGCACCTTGTCACTAATAACTTCGCAACTGAATTACCTTTCAATTAGCACCTTGTCACTAGATTACTTTGTAATCGAATTACCTTTCAATTAGCACCATGTCACTAGATTACTTTTCAACTAGTACCTCGTCATTGAATTACCTTTCTTTTTGTTATTTGTTGCTTCTTCTTAGGAATGAGGTATTTTTAATGTTGTTTATGATTAAATCGACCAAGCTTTTTCTCATTACAGTCCAACTTTACGTAAAAAAAATAACATTTTATCACTTTATTGTGCTTAATATATCCTAACTCCTGATTTGACACTCTCTACCTCTAAAACTTCTTATTCACCTTATTTTTGTATGAAATACTAGCATACTTGAGCTGGTCCTTCTAACAAAACAATCCTTATATAATTAGTAATTGTTTGCAGCTGGTTGGATTATCTACATTTAGGAGTAGATTTATTTAAAAAAATAATATTTTGCTACAATTAAATATCATATGATTTAAAAGTTTTTATGATAAAATGTTTTTAGAGCAAAATATTCTCATTTAGAGTAATCTAAATGTTTATCAACATGACATTTATTATTCTGAAAATAAAAAAAATCATTGTATCTACTTTTTTTAAAATGGAAATTGATTATAATTGTAAGCTTTAGCAATATTGATAAAAAAACTTATTAATATTGATAAAAAGCTTGATCATGATATTGATGAAAAGTTTGACCATGATATTAATTGAAAATTTGACCATGACATTGATTGAAAGTTTGACCATGATTTGATAAAAGTTTGATCATCATATTGATAAAAAGTTTGATCATGATATTGATGCAAAGTTTGACCATGATATTGATTGAAAGTTTCAACACGATATTGAATGAAAAATTGATCATAATATTGATTGAAAGTTCGACGGTGATATTGATGAAAAGTATGATCATGATATTGTCTGAAAGTTGTATCATGATATTCATGAAAATTTTAAGATACTACTTGCTTAACAAACACTAAACTAAAAAATTTTATATTTTGTAGAAATGACCTGGAACTCTCTCAATTAAAATCTTTTTGTTATTGAATTAAATTAGTTGTGGAGGCTTACAAATAATATATCATTAAAAACATACTTTTATCATATATTTACCAGGCGATTAGTGTTTGTTGAAAAATGCTTTTTTTTAAAGTTGATGGATTGATTGAACCAATGATGTACTTAAAACTCTAATTTTGATATATAATAGTAAGTAATGCTATTCATACAAGTAATATGTAAAACATGTAACAATGCGTTAGAGATGCTATTCATACAAGTAATATGTAAAACATATAATAATGCATTAGAGATGCTATTCATACAAGTAATATGTAAAACATGTAACAATGGGTTAGAGATGCTATTCATACAAGTAATATGTAAAACATGTAACATATTACTTTAACTAAATGCTATTCATACAAGTAATATGTAAAACATGTAACAATGCATTAGAGATGCTATTCATACAAGTAATATGTAAAACATGTAACAATGCATTAGAGATGCTATTCATACAAGTAATATGTAAAACATGTAACAATGCGTTAGAGATAAAATTGTTAGAGCACTTGCATCATAAGCAAGAAGTTTCAAATTTGATCCTTACCACGTCTCTGGTAGTACAGTGCTCAACTTGTTTCTCTGCAGAGGCCTAGTTGGTCAAGGTTCGTGTTTTGGAATTATAGAATTGAGAGAGGGCTGTAACCACAATTTGTAAAACCTAGATTGTAGTGGCATTTTCGACCTTGGGGAGATAAATTAGCATTTATAAAAAAATAGTATTATTTTTGTTGCAGTAGATATGTAAAATCTAAAAAAAATTAAGTTAATTCATCTTTATGTCATGCGTTTTTGTTTATCAGGGGTGTGGAATCATAAAAAAAACTCCAATCGTTAAAATTTTCAGAGTACAACTCTGACTCAAACTCCGACTCCAATTTCGAAGAACTTTTTTTTTTTATTTTTGAAAAATTTTTTGAATTCTTAAAAAAATATTACATAATAATAAAAATATTTTTTTTTCAAGCAAGATATATGAAAAATTCTTTGAAGATTAAATATTTTGTACATGCACGTGCAATACCGAGAAGTTTTACTATTGGAGTCAGAGTCACAATTTTATTTAGAGACTCTGACTCCACAATTCCAAAATTAAATTAACAAAATGTAAAAAAAAAAACCCATAAAAGAATAAAAGCTTTTATTTATCATCTAGCAACCACAAGAATATTCATAAAACTTTTGATTGCAATTAAAAAAATTTACTTAAATATCTATTTAGTAATAAAAATAAATTAATAATAAAAAAAAAAGCTTAATTTTATATCATCTTTATTTTATATTATGATATTTTATTTTTATTTTATTTTTATTTTACAATGATTGATTTTTTGGCTTGAAAGCAAAGGTCATAATAAATACATAATTTAATTCTGAAAAAAATATACGATTTAATTTAAAACTAATTTAATAAAAATATATAATTTTATTCTGATAAAAAAATATATACAACTTAATTTTGATTTTAAAAATATATAATTTAATTCTGATTAAAGAAATATATTTAAGTTGAACAAAACTAAAGTTAATGTTAGGGTTTAACTTTACTGTCAAATATATTTAGGTAATGGTGTAGTGGTAGAGTGCTCTCTTTATAAGCAAGATTATTATTAACTATTATAACCAACAATAACAGCTATCAGAGCAGGTTTACTATTATTTGAATCATTATTTGGAAATACATTATTACAATTCTTATTCAAATATTTTTATCAATTGAGATTTTTATTACTTTATGTTATTCACCTCCCAAGTTGAATTTAAATGAGCAGTAGTGACCAGAAAAGCCAACACAACAGTCGAGGAGGCTACCTTGTTGTGGTTACAATCCTCTCTCAACTCTTACGCGGTAGTGGTGTTGTGGTAGAGCGCTCGCTTCATAAGTGAGAGGTTCCGAGTTCGATCCCCACCACGTCCCTGTCAGTATCGCGCTCAATTCCTTTCTCCGCGCAGCGGCCTTGTTCGTCGAGGTTTGTGTTTCGGAGTTATAGAGTTGAGAAAGGGTTGAAGTGGCCTTAAGCCTTGAGGAGGTGAATTGATTAAAAAAAAACTCTTTAATTCCTAAACAAGAATCTTTATAAACAAGGCCGCTGTGCAGAGGAAAAAGTTTGTTCATTTGAATTTCAAGTTCAAAGTTTAATTGAAACTTCAGTTACTACCTCCCATTCTCTAGCCTTCTTTTTCCCATTTTCTCATTGACATTTTTAATTATATAAAATAATACTTTTAAATTTAAAATAAATCAATACATATAGATTAAGCGTGAAATTTTTTTTTCTATTACATTTTAAATTATATTTAAAAATCTTTTTCAAAATAATTTTAAAAATTCTTGTTATAAATAATTAAACAACAATATATAAAATATATTTTAAATAAAGTTAAAGTAGAAAATGAAACTAATTTTCAATATCATTAAACAAAAACACAAAAAATTTTTTTACAGGGACAAAATAAAAATTAAACCCAAAAAAACCTAAATTTACCCAATAAAACCCAAAAAAACCCACTGGGCCAGGTTTTTTTAAAAAAACCCGCGTTTTTGCCAACCCTGTATATATATATATATATATATATATATATATATATATAATATATATATATATATATATATATATATATATATATATATATTAGGCCTTGGATAAAGCAAAAGATTTCACACATGAAACATGCCCGCAAACAACCTTCCAGTTATTTGAGTCATTTAAATAAGAAAATCTTTAGTTTGTCGAAGTTTTTACTTACACTTCTTATATTTATGCGTATTGCCTTATTTTTATTAGGTTGAATTTTTAAAATGCTGCAAAGTATTTATACTTTAATCTTTAAAAAAATTTTGACGTAAAAACTGCTATTACCGCGACAGGAGGGAAAGGGTTAAAAATTGACAAATATATGGTGAAATGCTTTATGAATGACCCCCCTTAATCGCATTTACAAACGATTTATTTTAACGAAAAAAATAATTAAACATTAATTGATATTAAGTGATTTTTTTTTTTATATTAGGAGAATAGCAAATAAATCTTTTTTAATGTTTAAATAAAAATATTTGTATAGTTCTTATTTTTTCTTATTTATGTATATTTATATGTCAACCAAAATAAGAAAACCTAAATAAATAAAAAACAATAATATAAATAATTTTAGTTAACATTTAAAAAAAGTAAAAGATTTTCTTTTAAAATTCTCCTAATATAAAAAGTTTTAGTTATAACTTCTCAAACTATCGTGACAAAATAAGTATTACTTGTAATACTTATTTAATTCTATACCAATGTAAAATTCATTTTGATAACGAAATTCTATACCAATATATATACAATTCATTTTGATAACGAAAAAGCGCCAGAACTTGAGTAAATGCAAGTTTGTAAATGCAGTTTTAACTTACGTTACACTAATTTAAAATAAAAATGTGCTTCAACTAAGCATCCTTATTCAAAACTTTAAATGTAAAAACGTAACATTTAATATTCTTTTAATTTTAGTTCTTAAGGTGTGTGTGTATATATATATATATATATATATATATATATATATATATACATATATATATATATATATATATATATATATATATATATATATATATATACATATATATATATATACATATATATATATATATATATATATATATATATATATATATATATATATATATATATATATATATATATATATATATATATATATATATATATATATATATATATATATATAGACACACACCTTAAGAACTAAAATTAAAAGAATATTAAATGTTACATTTTTACATTTAAAGTTTTGAATAAGGATGCTTAGTTGAAGCACATTTTTATTTTAAATTAGTGTAACGTAAGTTAAAACTGCATTTACAAACTTGCATTTACTCAAGTTCTGGCGCTTTTTCATTATCAAAATGAATTGTAAATATATTGGTATAGAATTTCGTTATCAAAATGAACTTTACATTGGTAAAATTCATTTTGATAACGTTATGGGATGTTATGGGATGGCTTTTAATATTTCAAAATATTATTCTGATTCATCATTGTTATTTCAAGAGAGATATAAAAAAGTGGTCATATAAAGTGCATTTTGAGCAATCTATATGTAAGAACAATATTAAGTTATACCAAGATATTCCATACTGATCCAGCTTTGCTCCGCTCATCTGGAGTTAGACGAAGATAATCTACAGAAACCATTGTTGATCCAAGAATTTCCCAATACTGCAAAGCTGAAAAATGTATTTTAAAAAATAAAGAAATTTATAAGCATTAAAATGTTTTTCTTTCTTTTAAAAGAAAAAAATCATTCTTACTGTAACTGAAAAAAAAGGAGAGTATATAACAACTAAACTCATGGCTTAAATAGCTTAAAACCTAGCCTTCCTCTTTTGTGCTATTTCTCTAATACAAACAATCTAGAGCATTTTTTTTTTTAACTAAAGCTCATTCATACAATATGTAAGGCACTCTCTTCAAGTTTTCTTACATCTACCATACTTCTCTACATGCTGATACCTAAATTACTTTAATCTTTTCTAACAAACATTGTTGGATAAAAAGTTTTTCTAATCTGTCTAAAATTTAAACCTTTTCTAGTCTTGCTAGAGTCACACCACACATCTATTATCATCTTCTTTTTAAGCTAATGTTACACCATATAAAAGTTAATATAACAATGAAAGGATATTGTATGCCAGCATCTAAGTAAATAGCAAACATATATGTATAATATATATGTTTACAAACATATATGTTTGTTATACATAATAAGTATACAAACATATATGTTTATATACACAATGTATACATAAAGTATACATAATATACACAAATGTATACATAAAGTGCATCTTGGAGGCTTTTATTCCTTCTGGAATAAAAGTTTTGAAGCTTTTATTACTTCTTTTCAAATATAAATCTAGCCTTATTCCACTCCACATTTTTTAAGTTGTCTAATGTTAAGCTCTGTTATTCATATTTTACGAAATCTTGTTCTAACTTGACTCTTAAATATAATGGCCATACTCTTCCTGACAGTTAAACAGATTAACCAACTGTTAAACATCGAAATCACTCTGGCTTTCAATGCTAAAATTAATTCTCGATTAAACAATTCTACAGTTTGTGCTCAATAATAAATTTCAGCTATAGTCTTAAAATAGTGTTCTTCAGAACTCTCTGCAATTTTTGCTAAACTTTTATAAAGTGCTAAATAAGTGATTCCAATTTTTCAAAACTCTAGAAAACACTTTGACGTCTCCAACCTCTTTGACACTCCAACCTCTCTCCAGGCTTACCCTCTTTTTTTTTTTTTTTTTTTAATTATTTGCATTCACTCCCAACAAGGCTGCAAGCAACCACTATCAAGTTGGGAGTTACTAGGAAAAAAAAGAACAGAGTTATAGAGCAAGGAAACGGTTGACAGAAGACTTGAAAAGTTGAAGGTTGTATGAGTCAGGAAAACATGATGATGGGAGAGAGTTCCAAAGAATTGAAGTGCGGGGAAAAAAACTAGATGAATAAAAGTTTTTAGAGCATGCAGGGACAGATACATAAAACGAATGAGACTTAGCTGAATGACGAGTAAAACGAGAATGAATTTTAGTTGATGGAACTAGAGATGATAACTCCTTTGAGCAGTGACCATGATAGTATTTGTAGAAAAGAGAAAGAGATGCAACTTTACAACGATGGGAAAGAGGTTCAAGCTTAGCAGATAGTTCAGGTCCAACAACATTTACAATGCGTTTTTGGACCTTGTCAAGAAGTGAAATTGAATCGTTAGGATAACCAGTCCAAATATGACAACAGTATTCCATACAGGGACGAATAAGAGATTTGTAGAGGTAGAGAATGGAATCAGAAGTAAGGAAATGGCGAGCACGATAAAGAGAAGCAACCTTAGCAGAAGCTAATTTAGCAATCGATTGTATATATGGTTTTCATGAAAGGTCAGTAGTAAGCGATAATCCAAGAAGACGTAAAGAGGACGACTCAGAAAGAGGATTGCCATTCATTAATATAGGAATGTTGACCATATTACGGTAGTTTTTTGCAGTAAGCAACTGGGTTTTTTTAGAGTTGAAATTCACAAGCCCCAATCTATTACTGAAGTGAGATCGGATTCAAGATCAGCTGCTTGTTCTAGGCGATTGAAAAGAGAGGACTTTTTGTCAAGACAGGAGTATAAAGTTGAGTCATCAGCAAAAAGAGCAACTTTAGATGAAAGGTTGTCAGGAAGATCGTTTATGTAGATAAGAAACAAAACAGGGCCCAGGATGGAACCTTGGGGAACCCCAGAAGTTAATGGAAATAAAGAAGAGTGTTGGCCTTCAAGGATGACTTTAATAAACCGGTTAGAAAGAAATGATTTGATTTATTTTTATTACTCTTCTTTATTTCAAGTAACTTTAAGGGTACCACAATGTTATATTTTTGCTCCTGTATTGTTTCTTATCTACAATAACAATTTCCATAAAATCTAAAGTGATTCTATTTGCTAACAATTCAACTTTACATTCTTGTTTTGACTAAATATCTTCACTTTTTAATTGCTCAGACCAAGCAACTAAATACTTTTTGTTTTGACTAAATATCTTCACTTTTTAATTGCTCAGACCAAGCAAATTTGATCACTCTTCTGTAACAGCCTAAAGCTTGCAGAGGCTTATAGATTTAAATTCTGGGCTTAAAATCCACATTTTTATTAAACAACAAAACTTAGTTATTTACTGTAAAAAAAACATTGCAATATTATTAACATTCCTATATTGATGAATAACAACCCTCTTACTCTACAACAAAGTTTAAAAACACTTTGCAAATATAATTAGACCTGCTTTATCTTCCAAGCTTGAGCCACTCTCCCATTGTTGTATGGTCAATGATTAAACGAGCTATCATCTCTATTAAAATAAACCAAAACTCATTCTTGTTTGGCTTTTTATTCAAAAAATTGCATCCTTTTACCAAATCTGTCCCTACACACTAAAAAAACTTTTATCAATCCAGTTTTTTTTCCTTGAACATCAAAAAAACCCATTTTCATGTTTTCCCTTTTTATACAACTTACAACTTTTTAAATCTTCAGTTATGTTTTCTAGTATTTTAACTTATTCTCTATTTTAAAGTAACTTATAACTTAATAATGGTCACTTGCAATCTTGTTGGAAATAAAATAGAGTTTAAAAATATATAAATATATGCCAGTATTTAATAAATAGTAAATGTAAGCATAAAATTATAATATATTAAATATTATAAATTTTTTTCTAGCCCTGGCTATCAACCCCTGTTACAATTTTGATGGGACAAAATTATAACAGGGGTTGATAGTAGTAGGGGTATATTATAATTTTAGGCTTACATTTACTATTTATTAAATAGTGGCATATATTTATATATTTTTATCTACATTAATGATCTTACTGAAAACTTAACATCTAAAGTAGCTCTTTTTGCTGATGACTCAACTTCGTACTCCTGTCTTGACAAAAAGTCATTTCTTTTCGACCGCTTAAAACAGGCAGCCGATATTGAATCAGATCTCACTTCTGTAATAGATTGAAGCTCAAAATGGCTTGTAAATTTTAAATTAAACAAAACTCAGTTATTTACAGCAAATAACTATTGCAGTACTGTTGACATTCCTATATTAATGAATGGCAACCCACTCACTGATTCCTCTTCTTTACGTCTTCTTAATTTCTTTATTAAAAATCCTGATGAAAATGGATAGTAGTACATGCAATCATAAAGACAACAAAATGTCAGGGATGCATCTTTGATAATTGCATGTAACCAACATCATATAATTCACTATAGCAATAAAACAGGACTTGCAACAAAAACCGAATACCCAAAAACCTCTTCCCAAATTGTGTAATACCAATGTTTATAAGAAAAAATAGGGGCATTAAAAAATAGGAGAATAGGGAAAAAGATAACCAAAATACCTAATAAACTAAATAAATTAATAAGTGCAATAAGAATCTAAAATTTGATGAAATCTTATTAAAAAATTTAAACCTTAAAATATAATGTATTGCAAATATAAAATAAATTTGTTAAATAAATTTATGAAACTTCAAATATTTTATCTTTATACTTTAATGCTAAAAATGACAAGCTGTTTATAAATTTAAAAAAAATTTCTTAATACTATTTTAATATTTTTGTAACATTATAGGGAGAAAAAAAGTGGAAAAAAACTTTTGAACAAATTGATTTTATACTTTTTAATGAACACTTTCACAAAAATAAAATTTTTAAATTTGACTTTCTATTTTCATTTATAATAGGGAGCTAAGGTTTTTAATTTAGTTGTTAAATTTTGTGATTTCAAAGAATTTGCTACTAAAATCTAGATTTTAATTTGCTACAAATTAAATTGGACCATGATCTACATATGGTGTATTAATATTTAAAAAAAAATCATATTCATTAGAGAGTTTGATTGCTATAAGTCATCAAAGTGCAAGCTGCACCACAAAACATAAATTCAAAAATTTTTACCAATTTATGCTACCATAAACAATATTGTTTACGACATGTTTATTTTTAAAATAATGCAAACATCGTCAAATGAAGTGAGTTTCATTTAATGGTGTTTGCATTATTGCAAATTCATACTTGCAGAGTTCATATTGAAGTTATTCAATAGTAATAAATACAGAAATGTATTTATGACACTTAATGGTATTTAGGAAATATGCTTAGTAGTTTGAAAATCAAGATCTTTATGTTAAATTAATGAAAAAGTCTGCATTTACTAATTCAAACAAATTTTTCAAAAGAAAATTTACCATGAAAGGGTTTAATTAAGGAATATTCTCTTCTCATATAACCAGTTGGTTCTAAATTAACATCGCTATCAGATTCAAAAGAACATATCTTAAAACATAAAACCATCATAATAACACATTTTATGAGCAGCAACAGCAGCGCCATCTTGTGTGCCGTCTAATAAACAAAACACGAAACCGGCACGAAAATATAAGTTGTACGCTAGTTTTATTTTAATTTAATAGCTAAAAATAAACTTAATTTATAAATAAAAAAGTAAATTTTTAATTATATAATTTTTTAATTGAGTCATCTAATTTTTTAATTGAGTACATCTTTTTAATTGAAGCATCTACTAATAAAAAATTGTTACAAAAAAATTAGAAAAGATAATTACGTAATGCTCATTAAGAATTATGCGATTACTTTTCTATCGTACTTTTGGAAATGGAACTTAATCTCTTCAAATGTAAGTATTGATACTTTTTAATAAAGTTTCTCAAAAAACCAAGTACAAAAGAAACTATCAATCAAATACCTAACACGTGATGGGGGCGATGGTTTTAAGGCAGGTGCGGTAAATATATAAAGAGTTTACGAACCATCAACGTTTGTATTTATCCAAAAAAAAAACGTTTTATCATATTCCGCCAATTTTTATCATTTATATTAAGTTTTTTATAAGAAAATGGAAATCAGCGTGTTTTTTGTTTTTTTTAGCTATTTACATTGTTAACAAGTAGTAATAGTAATAGACAATAAAAAAAGTTCCGGACGGTAAAGGTATTAAACTACCCCACTAATACAATAATGTTTTATAAAACTGATATATTATATAAATAGAGTATGCGTGACGAATTTCCGGACTTGAAATTTTACTTGAACTTTAATGCCAAAAATTTGAATTTGTGGACATCTACTCCTCAATTATTAAAACTAACATAAAATCGTAACAATTAATAAGATGTCTAATCCGTAAGTATATTTAAAAAAAGCTAGTCAGAACTAAAAAACTTATCCTAGCCGTAAAATTTTGGGTCAGGTTTATGAGAAAGATGGCCCAGAAATTCAGTTTATTTAACTCTACATTACGGGCATTTGTAAAGAAATATCTCAAGACCAATTTAAGGGCCAGGACAAAAAGGTTCCTGCTTACTTTCCTGCCAAAAGAATTGAAAAGAAAATACTGAGTATTTTAAAGAAAGATGCGTTGATTTTACTGCATTTGGATAAAGAGGTTTTTACGCTGGATTCAATCTCAAACACTCGAACTTATTATTACTGTACATTTTAAACAAGGCACCAGAAATAGCCTCGGAAGACATCAGTTTAAATTCCGGACCAAGCATCCAGTCTCAGTAATGCTTTTCAGCATTGTGTTATCAGATGGTTTAAAAATGCCATTAGTTTTCACTGTTTCTAGCATCAAAATCCACACAAAGTGTACATAAGCATTTGAAATGACAATGTAAAGCCTTGGATTGCTACAAACTACACTTCCGAAAAAAAAATTATTTTTTCAACAAGATGATGGTCAATATCAAACGGCAGAAAAGACTAAGGCGTGGATTGTCAAAAATTTCCCAGGTTTCTGGTACCAGACATATACCATGGTATAAAGATATTTGGTCGCCTAGTTCTCTAGACCTTAACTCATTGGACTACTCCATAGAAGCATATGTCCAGTCCAAGGCTTGTCAACATTTCTACAACAGCATCAATGCCCTGAAGGTCTTCATCCGTAAGGCCTGATAATTCATGTCCGCAGACTTCATCAAAAATTGTCACCGGTTCAGGATCGAGACCGAAATTCAATCGGAATTATTAAGTAATAGGCAGTCTATGCAGTGTACTTTCATTCAAAAAATGAAAAAAAAAATTGGACTATCATAGTTTTTTTTTTAATAGAGTTAGAGTCATTCCATAGTAACCCGGAAATTTTGCATTCTGTATAAAAACTATTTCTTAGGATTGCCAGCCCAATAAAGTTTGCCTGGATTGCATTGTGTCCAAAAATGGAAATAAGTTCTATACGGATAGTAAATTGTTTGGAAACTTAAAAAAATTTATTAGTGAAAAAAATTTTATATTGCTTTAAAATTTTCCTTAGTTAAATTAGACAGATGCCATTCACTTAGTCTAAATAAATTGCACTTTTAAAAATTCGAACAAAAACATTAGTCATCAAGTGAAGATGATTAAGATACATTAATATATTTGGTATTTACCTTGTTTACTATAGTTATTTACTATAGTTACTATATTTATATACCTTGTTTACTATAGTTGTTTGAGTAATATTTTTTTAAACTATTTTTTTAATATCGTGCACTTATTCATTGATGCATCTAAAGAAGCTAATATGGAGTTATATCCTGTGTCTGTTTGTTATTTCTTATATGAAAAGAATTTAAAAATAAACTTTTTTTATTTTCTATGAAAACTTTTATGAAACTTTAGTAAGTTACGGTGCTGACAATAAATTGGTAAACTTTGTTATACATCATTCGTTTTCTTTGTTTAAAAAAAAGCAGCCATGTGATTTGAAAGCCAGCTGTATGCTATGTTTTACACAATGCAGCCAAATTTGCAAACAACTAAAATATGCCGTTAAAACTCTTATACTGAAACTTTGCATTGAGGATTATCATACTCAGCTAAGAAGTTAAAACAAATACGTATCTTTTATATTTTGTTACGTGCTTTTATATTTTGCTTTTATATTTTGTTACGTGACGTTTCAATTTGTTAGCTGTCACTAAAAACTCCTATAGCTAGATTAAATGTAAAAACGATTTTTAAATGTAAAAAATTGCCTAAAATCTAATGTAAATATTTTGGCAATAAAACTAACAAGTTCACATCATACTATTACACTATGCCCTATTTAAAGTACGTATTTTAAGTAAAGTTACTAAAATACGTCGATAATGATTTATCTGTTTTAAATCATATGGATTTTTTAAACTGTAGACATAATTTTTTCTTAACTTAAATGTCTTAATTTCGTCAGCTCTTATCGATGTGCTTACAACTAGGTATCAAAAGAAACGCCTTTAAAAAAAACAAACAACAAATATACAGGTTAGGGTTAGTGTATATAGAGGGCCCTAGACGTTCATAAAGCCCTCTAATAAATTAAAAAATGTAGATAATTTTAAAAGAAATTCTAATTTTTTTAATTAAAATTTTGAATTTTATTTGCATTTTTTTAAATAATCTATCAAATCACCATCAAATATGGTTGAGATACCTTGGTTTGGGTGGTTAAAAATTTGTTTGGAGTCACGTGCACCCTCCCACTTAATATCAAAGGCTTAACTTTGTATTTCATATTTAAAAGCATAGAATGTCTAAAATAAGAAACCTTTTAGAACAAACACATGCAAATACTATTACTATTAACAATATTTATTTAAAACAAAAATTATATATACAAACAAAAACAAATCATTATTATATACAAAAACAAATAGTAGATATAAACTTAATATACAAAAACAAACCGTAGATATAAACTTAATATACAAAAAGACTATACAAAAATATACTTAAATAACTATATGCAAACTTAAGGATTATGACATTTTTTTATCCTTAGTTTCCTGTATCAAAATAGATGAGCTGCGATTCGAATGTGACTCAATTCGAATGTACAGTATTGTGCAAATTAGTTGCATCAAACAATTTTTTTATTGTTATTTTTTGTTATATTCTAATTTTCTCTAATTTAACTATGATTAGAAGGATAAGTAAATTTAAAAAAAGTAAATAAACAAAGATGGACACAACACCATGAAAAAGATCTAAAATATTAACTTAACCTCAGTATTCTGATAAATCTCATTAAGGAACAGCCACATTATTTTCAGAAAACCAGTTAGCCGGATCAAGAAGCTACATTATTTTCAGAAAACCAGTTAGCCGGATCAAGAACAACCACATTATTTTCAAAAAAAAAGTTAGCCGGATCAAGAAGCATTACTTTGTATCAGGCAGCTTATCACCATTAAGTCAAAGAAAATGTGGATGAAAACAAAAGACCTTAGTGAAAGATGACCGATTTCTGATGCTGGAGAGAATCAAAAATTCAAAGAAGACAGCTGAACAACTAATGATTTAGACATCCATGTCTGTTCAAGTGCTGTGTGGAGGCGATTAATAGCTGTTAAAAGGTTTGCCGGAAAACCTTCTAAAAAACTCACAGATGCCATAAAGAAGAAGCTTTTCTTATGGGCAAAGGAAAACAAAAAATGGACTAATGAACAATGGAGAAGGGTATGACAAAATGTAGTTGTTTTACAGTTGTAATTTACAGCTATTTTATTTATTATATTTGTATAACCATACTATTTAAAAGCTGAAGATATTAAATTGAAGAAACTTGATAATTGTTAAATTATTAATTTAATTACATATATGATAATCGTTTATTAATTGTTTATTAACTTGTTTATTAATTGGTTGTAGGTTTAATTTTCCGATTATTGACATTTTAAAGCGCAAGACCAACAATTAAAGTTTGGTCATCATTCTGATGTCGAGCCTGTAAGACTCTGACACATAGAACAATATGCCAAGTATCCAGAAAAGATGTTTTGGGGGTTGTACTGGCATGATGAACTCTGACACTTACATAGAGGTTCTGCAAATACATTTAATTTCAGATGTTAAAAGTGTTTCCAACTGGAAACGGAATATTTCAGCAGGATTTAGCCACATGCCATACATCCAAAAACGTCTGCAAACTCATAGTAGAAAATATTAAAACACCTTAATGGCCTGGCTCCTCAGATCTCAATCCAATTGAGATTCTGCGGGCAAAAAAGTTAAAGACTACACGACTTCTATGACTAACTAAAGTTATGCTTACCACTATCCTTCAAATTTGGTTTGATGATCCAAAAATCCAAAACATTCGTAAAATTCCTGGATTTTTATTGTTTTTGATTTTGATGCAATTAATTTGCACAATATTGTAAAAGATTTTTATCTATTTTTTGAAAAAGGTAACCGTCAATGCTAATAAAAATAAAATAATAATGGTTTTAAATAAAAACCAATTACTTATTATCTATATAATTACTTATTATTAAAAATATTATATTCATGGTTATTTATTAATGACATTTAGTAGCAATAATTTTTCACGATGTATTCAATTAAAAATGTTATTGACTTTAAAATCTTAATAAAATTTTAGTTTTTTCGGAGAACCAGGTTTATAAACTTTCAGAGAAAAATAATTCTAGTGATATATGCAGCCTCCAAGGAGTAATCAAGGAGCGTTGGGTTTGACCTTTTTCAAAAAGTAGATAAAACTAATTACTTTTTAGTTACTTTCAAACCATTTATCTTTTATACAAAAAACTGATAAAAATGTCATAACCCAGGTACACACAATGCATACACCTATTAATCGATGTATGTTGATATACATGTAAGTGTGAATATCTACGCAAACATTTATCAACAAGTATATATACAGCTGTTAACAGCAATGCCATGATCTCTACCATAAGGAGATTTGTATTTGAAATTTGGAAGGTTTTTGTCTATATTCTGGACACATATACAAAAGATCCTTTTTGATTTAGCACCAGTACTGTTTCGGCACAAAACCAAGAAGTCACTCTATGGAAAACCAATATTTTAGAAACAAATATATACTATGAAGGTCTCAACTTGTTTCTCGATTGTTGGGGCCAGACGGTAGTGATCCTAAATTTAAAATTGTTAAATAAAAAAAATTTAAAAACTTCTTAACAATTAAACTTTGATAACCAATTACTAGATTTACTTAAACTATTATACCTGTCTCATTTGTAAAAATCGATGAGCCTGGTAAATCTGAAATTTTTAAAAGTTTAGTAAATTCATAAAAAACAGTATTAAAATGTCTTAAGATTTTAAAAAACATATTTATATTCTTAAGATTTGGTCTTAAGATTTTAAAAAACATATTTATATTTAATTACATTACACAAATGGTTTTTGTAACCCAACAGTTGTGCCTCAAGGTAATTGATGACCTGACATTTACCATTGTGATTTTTATTTATTTTAACACCTAGTGTTGCAGTGTCAAAACAAAAAGTAAAATGATTACCTTAGATATCCCACTCAATACAGATAATAATCAGTTCTTTTTTGCCAAAGTTAATTTTTTCTGCCATCATTCTCATCCTGTTCGATTAGATTTTTAAAAGCAGCAAATAAATTCTTAAATAAAATAATCTTTAAATCCACGTAACTTTAAGTGAGTGTTATTTCGGCTATATTAGAACTTTATAAAACTATATATATATATATATATATATATATATATATATATATATATATATATATATATATATATATATATATATATATATATATATTTAAAACATTTTTGAACCCTTTTACATCAACTGATCATGCCAGTCTCAGAATTAGTTTTTATATTTCTGCTTATTTTAATTTGTATTTGTTGTATATCTTTTATAAAAGTATTTACCTGAAACTACATGAAAAACTTTTTTCAACTTATTTAACAAATTAAATAAATATCAAATAATAAAGAGTTTTAATTTTTTTTAACAACAATTTTATTCTAAAAATTAAAACAAAATGTTTAATTGTTATTGAAAATAGTGCAGTGTGTATAAATATTTAGCATAAGATAAGAGTCAAAGAACTTGATACCTCCCACTTCTACCTCCCATCACTTCTATATACCCATTTACATCCCATCACTTCTTACTCCCATTTAATGTCTAAAATGATCAATCGGCAAGCATTGAAAATCAGAAATTAAGATTTTGATGTCACAAAGCAAGTGCTTTTTAACCCAATGCATTATTTGTTATAGGGTGTATAGGGTGTTACAATATAAGGGTGAGATACCTTTAAAGATAGGACTTACAGATAGGATATTGTTGTTTATCAAGGTTTATTCAGATTAAGTAGCTTAAATGACTTTGCAAGCTCATTCTTTGCAAGGTCAATATCTATAGGAGAGTGAAAAAACCATCCATCTATAATAGTGAATTTAATTATTGAGGGAAGATTTATAAGTGCTCAGGTTCTATATCTTTTGTTGTGTTTTTAAAACACAAAATTACTTTTCATATATTTTTTTTCATATTATTTTTGAGTGGCTATTTTTTAAATGATTTATTGATCTTAATTTTAAATATATTATTAATCTACTTTATATATTTCAAACATGTCTCCTATCACCACTGATGCTTAAAAAAAATAAGAATACTAAATATTTAATTAAAAAAATTAAAAAAACGTTTTATACAGGAATAAAATGTCTAGGGATATATGTATGTTCCATACATACATATCTACATACATACATATCTACATACATTCATACATACACACATCAGTATGTGTGTATGTATGAATGTGTTTATGTATGCATGTATGTATGAAACATGCATACATACATATGTATATATATACATAAATATGTATATACAAACATAAATATATAAATACATACATACAGTATATGTATCTATGTATATAGTTTTTTTGATTAGAAAAATATTTTTAAAATAGATTTATAGTATAAAAAAACTATATAAAAATTAATTAAATGTAACAGAAAATCACTGGTTATGTCGTCATGTTTTTAAACATAACAGTAACAAAGGTCATTTTCTTGTTTTATAACAAGTAATTACCATTATGTTCAATGTTTAATTCATATGAAAATAAGAATTACTTTCATATACATTGAACATAACTGTAACTATACCTTATAAAACAAGAAAGCTACTGTTTTTTAAAAATATAAATATATTTTAAAACTATAAAGATATATAAAAATATATATTTAAAAATATAAATATATATATATCCCATGCATTAAGCTTATTTCTAATTTCTGTTGTTTACAAAACTTTAATGTTAGATGCTAAGCTAAAAAGTATTTTTCAAATGCCTACATTGTATTTCAGCATGTTAAATGATTTTTATCATTTATAATGCTTTTTTTTGTTTTTTAATCATACATTATACATACACATATTTAAATTTTTTTTTTTTAAAACTAAAAATAATCATTTTTAGTTTAAAAAAAAAAAAAAAAAAGTTAAAATCCCTTTTTTTAATAAGTCAAAAACAACAGCAACATGAAAGAAAAGATACAAAAATGAACAAACAAAAACGATAAAACAGTATTTATTTCATTACCAGTTTGCACATTTAACAGTTATGTTAAGTGTGCAATTTGGTAATGATATAAATAGCTTTTACAAGTCTATGTTGCCGAATCAAAGAGGTGCATTTTCTCTATCAGGTAAAAATTGATTGATGGCCAAAGCCAAAAATGATAGACATTCTGAAGACCCTGTAGACATTCCATTTTCCATTTACCTTTTTTTGTAAAATAAAAGTTAAAATCAACATATTAACAACATATTAATAGAAGTAGAGATGAAGAGTTTATCAATACATAAAATAAATACAAATAAATTATTATAAACAAAATTGATTTAAAAAGTTAAAAAACTCAAAAAGCTAATGCAGAAAAAAAATCTTAAGACAAATAAAAAATTTATAAAAGAGAAAAAAAATGGTTAGAGTTTATTGAGTCAGGATAAAGCAAAATTAATTGGGAAAATTACATTAGTAAACAGACTTTAAAAATGTTAGAAATGCCATTAACACATTAATTAAAAAGAAAAAAAGGTATTCAAAAAAAAAGAAGATATTTAAAAGCTCAAAACACAAACATGACAAATAGAAAAATATTTAAACTATTTTATATTATAGATTTATTTATTAGATACAACTGCTACAGAAATAGTCTATGAATCTAAAAAATAATTTGTAGACAATGTCAATGAATTGTTTTGCAATATTTGTATCACTTTTTTGATAAATGGATATCAAGTCTATTTTTAAATTGTAAGTTATTATCAGCTTCAACAAATTCTCTAGAAAGTTGATTCCAATTGGTAACAATTCTAATAATGAAGAATTTTCTTTGGCTAATGTTAAACTTGGTTTGCTTCATGATGGGGTGTTGATTATTTCTTATCGCTCCTCTTGGAGCTGATGCCAGTACAGTTGATTTTTTTTTTCTATGATCGAAATAAGCTTTGTATCTTCTGCAAAAAGCTTAACGAAATTTGTCATTACTGGGATATCATTAATAAATATAAAAAAGAATGGTTGCCCTAAACTAAGGGTTAAGTATATATTATTATACTGTGTTATACTATGTTTATGCATACTATGCATAAACTAAGAACTAACTATTCTTTGCCCTAATCACAATGAAATAAAAGAGCAACTAACTATAAGACTTTATAATCAAAACTCAAATGAGCTCATTCATTTGAGTTTTTCAAAACTGTTTATAAAAAGTAATTTATCTAATTATTATGTATTTTGTGTTTTAAAAATTTTGTTGTATTTTACTAAGATTGTGTTATTTATTCTAAAAATGGAATTTTTATCTTAAGAATAAATAGCTTACAAAGGTTACGTTTTATTTTTCATTTTTATACAAAATTCAATATCATATGCTATTGAAACCATTTTTGCAACTCTATTTATAGTGTCATCAAACTTTTGTTTTGCGGCAGATATTTAGCTGTGTTAAGAATAACTAAACAATTAAATGTATTAATAATTGTAAATTTTTACATATTTTTTTTTTAAATTACTTTGATAACATTTTTTTTTTAATTTGAGTTAGTAATTAATTTAAATTAAACACAAAATAAAAATAGTAATACATTAATTTAATAATCTATATACATCCAGGTTAAAGTAAATAAAGGTTATAATAAAAATAAAGGTTATAATAAAAATAAAGGCTATAGTAGAAACAACCAATTTGTAACTCAAATGGCTCAATAAATTGTATAAACTTATTAAAAATATATCTATTTTTTAGATTTAAACTTAAAGTGGAAACTGGCCAACTTAACTTACTACTACTGTTTTTACTTAAATTTGGCATTTTTTAATTTTAATTTGGCAATTTTAACTTTAATTTGTAAAGTGAAAATTGACAAATTAAAATGAAAAAATGCCTAATTAAAGTGAAAATTGGCAGACTTAAAGGCAAAAAGGTGTAGTACTAGTATTACTACTACTACATTAACAACTGTTTTTGTTGTTACTATCATTAACACATCTAATACTATTATTGCTATTATTATAATTGCCATCATTAATTTTGCTTTAATATTACTTTTTAATGGTCACCACCTTTATCTATTTGTTTACTTAAAATATGTACTATTTGCAAATATAAATATGACATCCTTTTGTTCCTAAATATATATAATTAATCAGAAGTAAACTAATGAACGTAAATGATTAAAAGTTGTGTTTAATAAAACTTCAGATAAGGTCAAGGCAAAAAAATCGAATGAAAAATAGAACTAGGATGAGAAAATAAAAGTTTTAAGAAACATGTATACGATTTACAAAAAAAATGGCCACAAAAGCCGGTATTTTGTGTAAACTGATATAATTACTAAACTAGCCGGGTTTTTTGAGCAGACAACTAAAATATTCTAGATTTTTGATTGTTAATTTTATCGTTTTTCTTATTGTTTCACGATTGTATAATCTTCTTGATTAAATTTAATCTTGTTAATTTAAAAAATGTATTATATGCAACGTATCATTGTAATTTCTTTCCGTAATTATGTATAAATAATCTTTTTTTATCATAATTTTTCATCAGCTATACAACAGCAAAAAAATTTTATCACACTTTATGCATCATTACAATAAAAAAAAGTTTACCTTGAGTACAGCGCTGCAAAAAGCTTTATTTATTTCGTTTATAAGTTTGATTTAAAAATAGTATACACCCATGCACCAGGCTATCTTTATTTAAGCAAGGACTTGTAAAAGTATGATGGACGCTTTTACACATTGTTGTAGACCAGAGACTCCGCCACAAATGGAAATTTTATGCGCGTTTTATTAAGTCGATACTTTTTTCCAATGAGCAATTCCAGGTTTCGCGTTTTTTATAAAATCAAGACCCGAATTATTTAAATTATTGTCACCGTTTATTCTCATTTTCTTTTAATAATTTGCGATAGATAAATAATTATTATGTATATTATATCAAATAATTATTTTTTATATATAATCGCAAAATTTGTTTTAACTTATCACTATTAAAAACGAATTCGATATTCAAAAACTTATTATATTCGGGTCATTTTATTAAAAACGCGAAACCTGGATTTGCATATTGGAAAAAAGTTTTGATCGTTTTATTAAGTTAAAACTTCTTTGCTATGGGTAGAGTTGAAAATTTCCCAATTCTGTAAATTTTGGAAATTTTCAAAAAAAGATAAGCTATTTATTAATAAACGGGTAAAATTTTATGTTTTATTCAGGCTGTTATTATAGACAATTTTATGGTAAAATATTGTGAAGCAGATTGTAAAAATTTAGAAAGTCTCCTTTGTAAAACACTTTTTTTGGTATTATTTTGAGTTTTTTTTATTATAACTTTAAGTAGCAACTATGATACTTTGTTTTCAAAATTTTCTAAAACTGTTTTATCCTTTTATTTGCTAAGGATATTGATGTTCATTGCCGTAGCAAGATTAGTTTAAGGCTTAACATAACAGGTGCACCCCCTGTATTTTTCAATATTTTCTTGATTTAAAGACGTTATTGGTTAATGAAAGGCAAAAAGTGAAAGAAACCTTTTGCTAAATTTGAGCAACTTAAAAATATAGTTAGCAATAAAAATAAAGAACTAATAATTTCGAGGTCATAAATTACACCGCTATGTTTAAAAAAGTGCTTTTAAGACTCGAGTCTCAGTCGCCACAAATTTGCTTGGGCACTTTTGACTTTATAAATCAATAAACTAAAAAATGTCTGTAAGGAGGGGGGGGGGGTGAGGTAAATTTGTGAAAAGAACTGAATTGGTTTCTTTAAAATAAATATAGGTCCTTAAAAGCTAAAATTCACCCGACTGAATTGTGTCAAATACCCAACTAAATTTTTCAAAAAATCGACTGTAACTTAAAAATCACCTTCTTTGTGGGCGTAAAACAATCTCTTCCCCTACACACCGTTCCCCGAAAATCGTCTTTGTATGCAATCTTCACACATAAAAAACTTTGTTTCTTTAAAACACTCTACAAAATAATACACAAAACTTGTTAATCTAAAAAAGATTTTATTTTGTGAATATTTTACATAATAGTTGAGAGAAGTAAATACTAAATATGTTATACACAAGCTCAAAAGCTAACTCGGAAAACATCTACTTTTGTTCTTATAGGATTCTATAGTAAATTTGGACAGAGGATGACCATCCATTCTCTCAAATCCTTTACACCCTCTCGCTGCCCAATTTTTTTTATTACACTTGAATTTGACAGCTCGATCTAGTCTGTTAATGCATAACCCCGAAAGTAAAAGGCTTCAAGTTTAAGGCTTTGACTATATCACTATTTGCTATGATTTTTATTGTTACAATATGTCGGTGTTAATTTATACGTTTTTATACAGTATTACAGTTAGATTTTTTCGAATTAATATTTACCAAATATGTTTTGCAATCGAAATTATTTGCTTTGTTGTTAAGATGTGCAAAGCACCCGTGAGGCATTGGTAGCGCACTTACCTCAGAAACAAAGGATCCGTGGTTCAAACCCCCCACCTCTGGGTAAGTTTAGCGACATTGGTTAGGAAGGAGGCGTGAACTTCCAATGAAGTGTTAATCTGCGGTGCTCTGCGATAAGACCGTCAGGACTTCTTGGGGTACCTAAATAAAATTAAAAAAAAAAAAGATGCAAATAACACAGAAAAAATAATTTTAAGTTTATTCATTTTATTCGTTTCATTATTTAGATTAAAAAAAATGCCAAACTTTTTTATCGTTACATGATTACTTATGATAAGCTATGCGATCTAATTAACTTTTTCGCTTTTTTAGCTACTTAATTAAACAATACCTAGCTTAAATTTTCAGATGAATAATAAAGCTAATAGCTCACTGCTATCCGTGTATAGGTAGAAGTGAGTACACGCTTAGGTTAGGTATTTCAGCTTACAACTATGCGTACAATATGATGCTGCAATGGCAACGAATACCATAGTAATTTTATAATTGCAACCATAATCAAATAGAGAATTTTAAAATCTTTAAAATAACTTTTACTTTCACCATTAAACCATAAATATTTTTTAAATTTAAATTTACTCATAACAGTTCATTAAATATATAAACATGGCCTAAAAGACCTAAGAAATGAAACACTTTTTAATAACATAAAATAAATAAAATATACATTAAAAAAATTACCAAAATTAAAAAATCAAGTAAACTAAAATAACATTCATATAAAAATTGTTTTAATTTTAATAAAAAAAGGAATAACATCATGGGAGTAATACTTAATTGCATATATATATATATATATATATATATATATATATATATATATATATATATATATATATATATATATATTATATATATATATATATATATATATATATATATATATATATATATATATATATAAATATATAAATATATAAATATATATATATATATATATATATATATATATATATATATATATATATATATATATATATATATATATATATATATATATATATATATATATATATATATATATATATATTTCCAGGCATTAATTATTAATTATTTTTATTAACATAAACAAGCGTAACGCCGATGACTTAGCGACACAATTTCTTACTAAAAAGAAAATTACAAACTTATGGAAAGAAAAAGAAAAGTTTAATTTTCATTTTTATCTAGAATTAGATATTATTAGTATCGATTAAAAACGCCAACGTATAACGTGATACAGCCGCAACAAGCTGTTCTACATTTCACGATATATTTTACTTACATTTTGAGTAACCTTTAAACATCGCAATTGCAGTGATATAAATAAGTTAGACGCGCTAATTTTCTAAAGGTTTCGCAATATCTACATAAACTGGAGGTGACTGTAATAGCTTCAGCTCATACTCCAATTGGTCAATTTGCTTTTTCTTCAAGTTGTACGCGTTAGTATCAAAATTAAATTTTTTGGACTCTCGATAGAATGATAATAAATGAGAACGATTGCGGGCGTCGGGGTATGTGCACTCCTGAAAAGACAAAATAATAAATAATCTAAAAAATAATGAAATAGCTAGATGGTGCAGTCATTTGCGACACCTTTTTTTAAGTATTTTTTTCTTTTAGCTTAACAAAAATGCATAAATATTTGACCTGCTTCGTTAACACAAAATATGCATAGAAAATCATGCTACTTCCAAACGTAACAAAGTACGTAACTGGCTCCATTATGTCCCATGAGTATTCCCACCAAGTTAAACGAGCAAGGAATCCAAATTGTAGTGCCATATAGCCTAAAAAAAAAACATTAGTAATCTAACGTAATACTTTAAACTTTTATAACTTGTTTATAACACTAAATATTGAAAAAATAGATAGAATCTATTTGAAAAGCAACTGTTTCTTCCTGCTGGTCAACAAAAATGAAAATATAGAATAAAATACTACTAAAAAAAAATCGAGATAAAAAAACACATATACTTTAATCCTAAAACACTATAAATTTCAAAAGTAAAAAAAATGCTTTTACAAAGTCTAGCTTGTTAATCTTCCGCGCAAGCTATTTTTATTCAGTGCATCAAATAGCGTTTTCAAAAACATGAATCTTTCTTCATTTGCAGTACAACTGTTGTTGACAGGAACACTCTTCTTTTTTTATACAGAAGAATTCATTTACTTTATATAGCTGATGACACTATATATTTTAGTCAGTTAGTTTATTGATTATTTTAACTTTTCATTGATTATAAAAATGAAAATATATATTTGTTAGTGTGAGTACAACAACAACAATATATGTTTTGAAACAAACTTTTTTCATATTAATTTACAAATAGAACTGAACACAAATTGAATAATAATAGCAATCATATTATAATATTAAAGTAAATTTAATGAGGAAATATATAATAATAATAAAATACTATAAGATGTAATAATGACAACAATAATTATTTAAGTAGTAATAATAATAATAATAATAATATTGATAAATATTATAGATAAGTATTAAACAATATTAATAAGTAATAATGACAGTAAAAAAAATAAATAAACAAAATGTAAATAATATTTACATCAAATATAATAATAAAAGCAATAACAATAAAACTAAAATTTTACATGCAGTATTTTATTAACAAATAGGCAAAAAGTTTTTAAATTGTGAAATATAGTTGAATTAAAATTAAAATGAGATTGAAGATGAAGAGGTAAATTACTTCACGAAGAATTGGTTTGTGATAAAGATTTATAATTGTATTTCACAGAATAATGAATAATGAGGTTTACTTGTTTACAATTCCAGACAAACAGACAAATTAGTAGATGAACAAGATCACATAATATGAGTATTTTTGATAGAAAGTAAAGGATATCAGAACTAGAGAGACATTATTGAAAGTATATTATTTTTAATGTAGGTTAGATAACAAGACTGGCTTTGTCCCCAAACCTGACAGGCATATCTGAGATGTGATCCGAAAATTATAACGGTATATAAGTAGAATTTCAAATTTAACATTGTGACGAATTTTGTGGCGAATTTTGTATCCCATTTGATGTACACAATTCCACTTTTTAAAATAAGAGGAAAACGATAGCTTTGAGTCAATTTTGATTCCAAGATATTTTAATGAAACTACTGGAGAGAACTTTGGCCACTTAGTTACCAGCCAATTAGTTTAGAGGTTTATATATTTTATAGTTATATAATATTGTAATAGATTTTAGGTTGACCCGATTTGAGTGATTGAACTGATTAAATTCAGTTTAGCTGGTATTAAGTTTGTTAGAACGCAGCCATTGAAGTAGATTGGATACATTATGATTAATATGTTTGTTGATTATTTTAATGTTTTGTTTATTTTGAGTAAGTTGATGTTGTCAGCAAAATAGCAAGCCATTGAAAATTTTAGGGAGATATATAAAGAAAAAAAATAAAGAAAAGCAATTTTCCTAATACAGAACCTTTAGATATACCAGTGGGGATAATTTGAATATACCTGTGGGGATACCTGAGGATATACCTGAGGATATACCTTTGGATATACCTGTGGGGCATTATACTGGCAAAGATATGACATCATTGATGAAGACAAATTGCAATTTACTAAAAGATATGATGAAAATCTTTAGAGAGCAATACCTCGAATACCATAGTGTTCTAATTTACTTAAGGGAAATAGGAGAGAAGAAACACTCCATATGCAAAAAGCTTATTGTCAAGAGCTTTTCTATATAATTAATGTAGCTATTTAATAGTAAAAAAGCTTAAGGAGTGTTTGCTAAGAAATCCAAACTGATGTTTGTAGAGACGTTGATCTTTGTCATATTTTGGTAATGTTAATGTTTTTCAATGACTTTGCTAATGTTAGATAGAAATTGGTTGATAATTTGTGTCCATTTTTTATCAATAGGAATGTCTTTGGCTACATTAAAAATATCTGTAAAAAAGGCTTTTTTTAAAAGAGTTATCCAATTTGGTACAAAGAGGCTAGAAAATAACACAAGGAATAAGCTAAAGGAGGTGTGTGACACTATTTGGACCTAAACTTTTATCATTTTGCAGAGTTTTTTTTATTAAATCAAACTTATTTTATAGTCACTGGATTAAAAAAATTTTTTTAAATAGTCAGAGAAGATACTTTTAGAAAAATCATTTTACCTTTGGATGGGCATTGTATTGTTTCATAATAATTGTTGAAAATGTTAGTAACAGTCATACTGTCTTAGACAGTGTTACCATTAGGTTTGAGAATGTAAGATATAATTGATGCGAAGGGTTTGATGTTAATAATTTTTATTTATTCCTTTCCATGTATTTTTTTTATTGTTGAGGTTTTTGTTAAAGAAGGAGATGTAGTATGACTTTTATGAAAATTCTTAATAAATTGCTTATTTTATTCTTGTACAATTTATTTAAATTTATTGAATAGGGTAGAGTGAGGTAATGTTGTTCTAAGGGGTAATGATTAAGGTAAAAGCTTTTTATTTTTCTGTATGTTATCTGGTGGTTAAAATAGCTCTCATTAAACTTAAATAATCAGCTTACTTGGCAAATTCTTAAATCCCTGTTCGATGTGGCATATGCTGAGACCCTCAAAATGATGACGACTGTAGAGGACAAAGAGTTTTTAAGATAACACAAAAAATTTTGGATTTTTTAAAAATTAAGCTTTAAATTCTTCCTTAAACAAATTTTATCATACATTGACTTTTTATAAGTATTTCGACTTTTAAATTTGCATATCATATACTCAATTTGGAGAATTATTACGTTATTCATTTTATATATTTAGAAAATTTGTAAAGAAAACTATGGAAATCAAACCACAAGAAAGCCCTGCATTCCTTGGAAAACTGCTAACAGATAAAAAAATATATATTTATTTGTATCTTTATCTGTTAGCATATAGAGTTTTTAATTTTATAAAAACTCCTGAAAATTATTTTTATAAATGTTAGGGTCAATAAATTGACGAAGGTATGTGGGTAAACTCCAGAAGGTTTGTAAAGGGATAAATAAAGTAACTAAAAACTACTGAATAATTATGTTTCTCTAAAATTCTATAAAATCAAATACAATACTCCAGTTTAACCGTAAACAATCTGCCAAGCATAATAATTTAGTTAATATTTAAATATAAAATGTCAGACAATGGTTCAGAAATCAATACTTTTTATTATTATAATTTTCTGTTGCAAAACATTCGTCAGCTTTTCTTTTTCTTCACTTTTTTGCATGATCAATAGTAAATTCTTTAACTAGTTTTGTTCATATAAGGCGATCTTTTTTCCATGTTGAATTTATTAATTAAAAATTAAAAAATTAAATTAAATCAAAAAATTAAAAAAAGTTTTTCAACTTTTCTGTTATTCTGATGGAATTCTATTTTTTTAATACAGTGTTAACTTGCAGTTTGCAAATGACCACAGATATTTCCACTAACTGGATCATGAAATATATCTTGTCTTTTAAAGCACTTTAGCGGTGTGGTGTTTTTTGCTAATAATTGATACTTAACCAAAACTATAGCAAAGTAGGTTGAAATAACAAGATAGTTTGCTTTTTATTAACTATGGTTGATATGATGAGCTATCATAAATGATTGCTCAACATGAGGGCGTAATGTCTCAACGGGGTAATGTGGGTCTCTAGAATACAACTCAAACTGGTGCTTCTTAGACAACTTTAAAAATTATGTATAAGTTTTTTTGATCTAGTTTAATAAAAATGATGTGTAATCATGATTTTTGAAGTTTTCTTCAAAAATCATGATTATAAGTTTATATAAGTTTTCTTCAAAAAAAAAACCCACCTATACATATATATATATATATATATATATATATATATATATATATATATATATATATATATATATATATATATATATATATATATATATATATATATATATATATATATTTATGTGTGTGTGTGTGTGTGTATATATATATTAATAATATATATACACATACACATACATATATATATAATATATATAAGTTTTCTTCAAAAAAAAAACTTGTTTTTCTATATCCTTTCCTGGAGTTTTTTTTTTTACCATTAAAAAAATCCACCTATATATATATATATATATATATATATATATATATATATATATATATATATATATATATATATATATATATATATATATATATATATATATATATATATATATATATATATATATATATATATAAATATATGTATATATATATGAAAACCACCTATACATATATATATGTATGTGTGTGTGTATATATATATATATATATATATATATGAATATATATATATATATATATATATATATATATATATATATATATATATATATATATATATATATATATATATATATATATAAATTAGTATAAAATAATTTATCAAAGTTTTTATGTGTGTTTTATTAATAGACTCATCAGAAATGCAATTTTTGATTTGATTTTGAAACGATTTCTTATGAGTAATTACCTGGTGAACACAGAAAAATCCGGTCAACTTTAAATTGAGATTTCTCTAAAACCATAAATGCTTATTACTTCAGTTTTTTTTTATATGAAAGGGCTTTACATCAATTAGGGTTTCAACTTTATATTAAGGGGTTTGATGGGCTGTTTGGCAAAAGATCAAAATTTATAGTAAGTTGATGTCATCATTTTGCAGATTTTTTCTTTTTTCACCTTATTAGTGGAATTAATCAACATTTTTTAGAAGAGATTTTTTATTTTTTGTTACTCAACCTGTCTTCCAATGAACTTCTTCAGCTATTGCCCAAAAATCTTCAATCATGCGCTCTTCAGGATGATTTGGAAGATTCGCATCTTTATGAACAATTTTCTTATTTATTATCTTTTCATTACTGAAGAACTTTTTTAGATTAGTGAGAAGCAGCAAGATCTGGCTTAAAGACACATTGATATTTGTGTTAATTCAGAAATGGCAAAAGTCTTTTATATAGGCATTTTTTATTATAAAGATTAGCAGTCAAGGTCTTCTTAGTGACAAAACAAGAGGACTGTATATCACAACTACAAATTGCTTGCCACACAAAGACTTGGATGCAAATTTTTCTTGTCAAATATTATTAAATTGATCATTGACAGATTTATCTTTGTTCTCCTAGTAAAATTGTTGACCAGGGAGTTGTGAAAAATCCAACTCGCAATATGTTTTGTAGTCTTCAATTTTGCACATACTTTTATCCGCCATTATTTTAAACAACTTCTTTGCGTGTCGAATTCCTTTAATTTCACCATTTAAGCTTCTCTGTGGTGTATTTTTCTTTAAAAATGCTTAAATTCTAGTATTTTTAATTATTTTTTAATATAAGAGCGTAAAGTCTTGAGTTTTCTTGCTGAGATCTTGCTGTGACTGGTTTGGACTTCTTGCTATTGAACTATGAATCATCTTTACTTTTTTGGATTTATAGAAAATTTTCTTTCTTCCACTTCCAGGTTTAATTTCAAAGCTTTGAGTAGTCTTAAACTTATTTATAATATCAATGACTTTAGATTTTGTGACATTAGTACGTTTAGCAATCAAGCAATGGATTTCTGCAAAAAAAAATTTACAATTTTTTTACGCACCTCAATTTGTTTCTGAAACATTTTGCAAATCATTGATTTGTAATCAAAAATTATCAACATAATTAAAGATAATAAGAAACATTTAATTAAAAAAAAAAAAAAGCATTTATAGTTTTCAAGATTATTAGCAAGTTTAAAGTTGAATGGATTTTAATTTATTTAAACTATTAAACAGAAATACTGAGCTAGGACACAGTAAATTACAAGAGATTGATGTAGTACGCAGTGTTACAGAGTGCTATATTAAAATATATATATATATATATATATATATATATATATATATATATATATATATATATATATATATATATATATATTGTATATATATATGTATATATATATATATATATATATATATATATATATATATATATATATATATATATATATATATATGTATATATATACATATATGTATATATATATACATATATATATATATATATATATATATATATATATATATATATATATATATATATATATATATATATATATATATATATACATATATATATAGCAGCAAATGACCTAATGAGGTAATCAAAGTTAACTATAAGCGCATCTATAACTTTGCAATAAAGCGCCCCAATGAGTGACAACATAATTTGTGAGGAAATGTTCATGTACTGCACAGTTTTTTACATTTCGTCTCTGTATTCTCTTATTGTGCTTGTGCAGTCTGTATTTTGATTGCAAGTGTGTATCTGTGGAACAAGAAAATGTCTATGTTTTCTATATTGTTTAATATTTTATATTGTAAAAATAGGTCTTCATTTGTTCATTATTTTGCTGCAGTAGTCTCTTCTAATACAATAAATGTTTAATTGTTGCAATAGTTTTTGTCAATTGTTGCTGTACCTTTAATAGGATAGCGATGTTTCTTTAAAAAAATGGTGACCATGATTGTATGGCAAATTCTAGAAGAGGGCAAACATATGTTAAGTAGAGAGTGCACCATAGTATGGAACTGTGACTTGGGAAAGCCTTTTTATGCCAGCCAAGTATACGGTTTGAGGTTAAGGTGGTGGTTTCTATTTAAGTTCAAATGCTTAAATTAATCAATACAAGAATTCCCAAATGACGGTCTCTAGTAGTTACCTCTAGTTGCCTTGAAGTACCATCAACATTCGCCATTAATTACTCATACTTCATGCTAATGATTTTTAAATGTTGATGTGCATAACTTTTTTTTTTTTTGAGTGGGAATACTTTTTTTTTTATACTTGATTTTTTTTTATCTCTGCAATGCAACCATTTAAAAGCTTTCAATGCACCTGGTATTAAAATGACACTGAAGGGTCTAAAGAAATGAGGTCTAAAACTAAAATCCAAAAAAAGTTAAGTTCAATAAACATAAAACCTTTAAGTAAATAGTTTTTTGTATTTTAAATTGTATTTAATGGCTGATGACTGCAGCTTAAGTTGCAGTATTTATCTTTTTTTTATGAAAATTAGAATTCTATAAAAAATTTGCTCTTGTTCAAGTTATTAATGTGTGCGTGTGTGTGTGTGTGTGTTTGTGTTTGTGTTTGTGTGTGTGTGTATAGTGTATATTGTATATATAGTATATAGGTCAGCAACAGCATTTTAGTTTTGCTCATCTTTATAGCATATGGCTTTTTCAGAAAAAGAAAAAACAAAAAAACAAAGAATAAAAAAAAGAAAGATTAATTCCTATTCTAAAACCTTAGTCAATGTAATTGCACTCTTTTGCGACAGCAGGCTATAAAATAGTCGATGTATGTACCGAAGTCCTCGTTTTCAAAAAATTTGCTAGATTTTTCAAATTTTTTAGTCAATTATTTTTGAGAAAAATAAAAATTTTAAAAACACAAAATGTAAAAAAAAAAAATTTTGTCTTATTTTAGTTTTCACTTTTTAGATTTTCTCTTTATTGTTCAAAAAAAAAAACAATAATTTTTTTTTTTGAAAAATTTACTTTTTTATTTTTTTAATTTGCTCTACATTAATTAAATAATTTTTTTGTGACAAAAATTTACAAATATTTTTGTAAGAAATAGAATATTACCTAATCCACACCAAACAAGAAACTCAGTTTTTCTTGCAGCTTTGGCATCTATGATTGCTTTTTGTTCTTCAAGAGGATTAAGTTCATGTTTAAGAGATTCTATGCATTCATTAATTGTCTTTTCACGTCGCTCCTAGCAACAAAAAATGATATTCTTTAAAGACATTCTTTTTATTACTTTTATTAATACCTCTGCTAATAATATGATATACATTTATAATTAGCAATACATTGCTAATATGTTTACAAGATTACTTATTTGATTTATTCAATCAAATAAATCATGATGTTGCTGTAAACATAGTTGTGGAAAGAACCTATTTGCCTTGAATACATTGTAAACTCTTGCCAGAAATTGTGATTTATCTTTTCTGCAAACCGTAAAATTTCTTCTTTGAAATTGCATTAAAAGTTTCTTTTAATAAATATCTGCTTTTTCTTTGTTTTCTTTTGCTTTTAAGCATATTCTCCATTGTTCCAATTTTTTTCTACTTTTATTTTCTCATTTTTCTTTTGCTTTACCATGCTTGCACATTATTTTAATTTTATACTTTATTTCCCCATTGAGCCCAGTTATACTAAACAGTTATACTAAACACTTCATGCCCAGTTACATTAAACACTTGAATTAAAGAATCTAGTTTAAGTTAAATGATTTAATTTGTAAATTAAAAAATTTAAAATTAAATTCAACGTAATACATTAAAATATAAGTTATACATATAAGATATACAAATAATATACCTTGTAGTCTTGTATAGTTAAATCAGTGTAAAGTTGGCTGACCAGGGACTTTACGTTTGATAAAGTCTCAGTTGGAACTATTGGGAAGTTTTCTGGAAGAAAAAAAATTGACAAAATAACAATATGATGAGCACAGATTTAATAACTAATATTAAATGAAAAAAAAACTATTTTTCTCTCTTCAAAACTGTAAAAGAAGTATCGGAACTTGTGTATAGAAGTGAGACTTCAACACCACGCCTGTCCATTGATATATATCAACAGGTAATATCAATCCTGGTATTAGAGGTGGTTTTCAACAGTCAGGTTGTACTGAGGAAATAAGAAATAAACTACATGAGTTAATTGGAGATAACAGAAACTGTAATCTACAGGGGATAAAGGTAGAATTGGGAATTGATGTCAATGTCTCTTCATTAATCCAATAGTTAAAAAAATTGAATGATACATATAAATTTTTAGGACCCATTAGTGAAAGAGGCAATACTGCAGAGGTAAAAGAAGAAAGAAAAACATATTTATCATGGTATTTAAATTTGACATTGCAACCTAAAGAAATATCATTTATATTGATGAAAGTCCGTTCAATCTTCATATGATAAGAAACCACAGATACAGTCTCCGAGAAACGACCCCAAATTAATGTGTATTGTCATCAAGAGGCTATAACATAACTATGATATTAGCATTAAATTGCTTAAACATAGTCCACAGTGAAGCAATAATTGAGTTGACAGCAGATATCTTTAAAAGATTCTTAAATACACTTAAAATTATTTTGGGCAAGGAAGAAGAGTTTACCTTGGTGATGGACAACGTTAACTTATATCATTCATTATTAGATTTTCATGATAGTTTTCCTTATGATATTCCTTTTTTACCCCGATAATCACCTTTTCTAAATTCTTGTAAAGAGATATTTTCGAAAAATAAAAATACTACAAGAAGACAAATAAATATCAAACTTTGTGAGACACTGCGAATCTTTTCATATGCAATGTGTTAATGGAGATGACATTAATAGAGTCTTAATTTAATAAATAAATAAAGTGGTAATTTAAAAAAAATAATTTTTTCCAACTTGTATATTTTTTTAATTTATTTTTAACTGGAATATGTAGAATATTTTTTATTACTAATCATTTAAGCAACTCATAACATGCATTATAAAATTATTATAAATTTTAAAACCGTCAGATTGAATGCAAAAAACTGCCAAATTAAATGCAAAAAACCATCATATTCATACAAAAAGCCACCAGATTAAATGCAAAAACCAGTAATATAATTGATAAGCTAATATTTAAGTAACTGTAAGTTAATGTAGTAACTGATTGTTTTGATTTATTTTATAAGTAAATTTACTTTTATGTACTTTATCCAAAAAATCAAAGTAAATATAAATTATCAAAATAAAGTAAAACTTAAAAAGGTTCACAAAAAAAAAGAAGAAAAAGTTTGTCTTAACGTGTTTTTCCTTTGTTTCGCCTTAACAACATTTTAAAATATTATTGACTTCAACGCAGAGATTTAAAGTAATTTAAATTCAAAAGTGCTTTATGTTGAATGAAAATCTCTGTGCGAAAGAGCAAATCATCATGCTTCTATTCAAAAGATAAATTTAGCGTTATGTACTCAATAAGAAAAACATTACTTTTAAGATTTGCCAAAAAAATGCTACATTAGAAAAAAAGTAAATAAACCAAAAAATAAGAATAATTAAAAAAAAAAACACGTCGCAAAAATATTAAGAAAAAACTAATCGCAAAGATGAGAAAAGCAATCACCATACGCTTAATTAGGGCTCTGAATCAGTCTTAAATTATTATTTTTTTGAAAAATAAGTAAAGTCTTAATAATCTGCTTTATGTCCTGCTGCCTTGTAGGATACGCTTTTTTAGGCAAAAGCTAGGAGAAGTTAATTCCAACTTAAAACACCCCTTGGGATATTTGAGTTGAGTAAAGACTAGAGATTGTGTCTTGATAATACTTATTTTAGGCAGATGTCAAATGCATCAAGCTACTGTCTTGTAGAAGGCCTCCTAGTCAAAGACTTAAGAAGTTAACAGATTCTATCTGTTGACCAGCCTTGCACCCCTTCTTCATCTATTAGGCTAGTGCAGATGTATTTTTAATACATTGTTTCTATTATAGGATGTTGAATGCTAGATCTTTTTGACTTAATCCATAGGTTTTGCTTGTGTCTCTGTTTTTATAACTAGGCAACTCTATTATCTCCTAATGAGGGTACAGCTCTAAAACTCAGTTTTTTGGTTCTGAGGTTGGCTGTTAGTCAGGTTTCCCAAACTCTGTGCTCTCAAAGAGGCTGATAAATCAGCAGCGGTAAAATATCAGAATACTAACATGTTGCATATGGATGGTGTCTCTGTTTATGCTTTTGGTGTGCAATCTCGAGGACACATTTGGAGCCGTTTGTAACAGCTTAGCGTTTATTAATAGTAATGAGGCAACAGTTTGAACTATTAAAAAAGTGTACTGAGTACTATCTATGCTTTGAGTCAAGCTCTTTAACAAGTTTAAAAATGACTAAAATACCAAAAACTATAAAACACAAAAAACCATTATCATCACCAAGTTCTCTAAACCTTTCATTCACTAATATTTGTGGTCTTTGAAGTAACTTTTCTTCTGAGTCTTATCTCTTGCAAAGTTCACCAGACCTACTAGCTCTTTGTGAGACTAATTTGAGTTCGGCTGTTTCATCTTGTGATCTTAGTGTTAATGGACATCTTCCTTTAAAAAAAGAGATTCCAATAGTCACATGCTTGGCCTGGGCATTTACATTGGTAAGAATTCACCCATTTGTTAGGAAACAAGGTTTGAATCCACTGACTATTCTTTTATGTGCTTTCGTTTAGTGCCACTTCACTGTATTGCCTTTCTCTTTGTTCTATATTGCTCTCCTTCATCTCAAGACTGCACTCTTTTCAGTGTTATTTCTGATCATATTGACCAAACCCTCTCTCTTTATCCATCATGCAATACCAATGTTGTTGGTGACTTTAATGCTCATCACACTGATTGGTTTGGCTCTAGTGTCAGTGACTCTGCAGGCGTTAAGGCCCACAACTTTTGCCTTTCTTATTCTCTAACTCAAATAGTCAACTTTCCAATTCACTTTCCTGACAACATGAATCATTTACCTTCTCTACTTGACTTATATCTTGTTTCTGATCCTAGTCAGTGCTCAGTTTCTCCACATTCACCCTTTGGTACTTCTGATCATGGTTTGATCTCTCTAAAACTATTATTTCATTCTTCTTCATCATCAGAATCCCCCTATCATCATACCTCTAACAACAATCTTAAAGCAGACTGAGACACCATGATTTTCTTCGTGATGGCCCTTGGGTAGATTACTTTTGTCTTCTTGCTGACAAATGTGCTTCTTACATAACTTCGTGGATTCAGGCTGGCATGCAATCTTTTATTCGCTCTCAACAATTCCAAGTCAAACCTCACTCTTCTCCATGGTTTTCCTCACATTGTGCTGCTGCAATTGCCAATTGAAACCATTACTTCCATATCTATCAGCAAAACGATTCTCCAGAAAACAGACGTTTGTTTACTATTGCTAGAAACCATTGCAAAAAGGTTTTGTTTAATGCCAAAGCCCACTATTCTCAGGTCATGAAATCTCGTATTTCAACGCAAAAATAAGGCTTTTATGACTTCTGGAGAATTTTTAACAGTATCAAAAATAAGGGCAAATCTTTTATTCCACCTCTTTTGTATTGTTGAGACTTTTTCACCTCACCTAAAGACAAAACTAAATTGATTGGTAAGAACTTTTCATCAATATCATCTCTCAATTCCACTAGTTGCGTTCTACCTGATAAAGCCGACAAACAGGTTGATTCATTGCTTGACATTCGTATCACTTCAGCTTCTGTATCAAAAGTGATTTCCTGCTTAGACTCTTGTGGTCCAGACAACATACCTGTTATAGTCTTGCAGAAGTGTTCTCCAAATCTGTTATCTATACTTTAAAACTATTTAACAAGTGCTAATCAGAGTCTTGTTTTTCAGCCTGCTGGAAAGCAGCATCTGTTATCCCTATTTTCAAAAATTCTGGAGAGTGATCTGACTCATCTAACTACTATCCCATTAATCTTCTTCCCATTGTAGCAAGGTTTTTGAATTCTAAATTAACAAACACTTAAACTCTCATCTTGATTCTAATAACTTATATTCTGATTATCAATATGGATTTCAATCTTCTCAATCTACAGCTGATTTGCTAACAGTAATAACGGATATGTTTTATTGTGCATTAGATAGAGGTGGAGAGGTTAAAGCTATCGCTCTTGATATTTCTAAAGCTTTTGATAAAGTTTGGCGTGTTAGTTTCTTCCATAAGCTTTCTTCTTATGGTGTCTAAGGTAACATCTTTAAGATTATTGAACTCTTCCTTTTCAATCGTAGTATAAAAGTAGTCCTCAACAGACAGCACTCTTCTTCATATCTTGTAACTTCAGGAGTTCCTAAGGTTCTATCCTTAGTTCTATACTCTTTTTAATTTACATTAACGATTTTCCAGATATTCTTACATCTAAGGTGGCATCGTTCACTGATGATATTACCATTTATTCTTGTCTTGATAAGAAGCCAACACTCTCTGATTACTGAGATGGCATTTGAGCTTGAAAAGAATCTCACTTCTGCTCAGCATTAGGCTCACAGTGGCTGGTGAACTTTAATTTAGATAAACCAGGGTTGGCCAGGAAGGCGTGCGATTTTAAGTCTTTATATGACCACACAAATAATTTTTTTTTTTTGATGATTTAACTACGGTTTTTAACAAATGCATTGAAAAAATTGGTTTTTATTTACGTTGAAAATAAATAACTTTGACGCGTTTATTTTTACTAACGTTTATATATTAGCAAAACACTTTTAAATAAAGTAGGTAATGATTTTATTCAAAGTATCATTGAATGTTGTATAATTATTTATTTAATCTTATAATGGAAAAAGTAATAACTTTTTTAGATTACTCGCATAATTTCCACAAGTATTTTTATACTACAAATATAGTGGTACTATGGATTTTTTATTTGGTTGATAGTGACACCTGAAACACCTGGCAAGGTTCATTTTGCATAAATACTAGCTAAAGTCACTTTTCTTAAAGCATCAATGTTATAAACTAGACTAATATTAATGTGGCAGTCTGATTGAGAATAATTTTATGCATTTTAAAAATTTAACACATTCCTAATTACTAATTTTAAGTATTTTTATGCAGTTCCAGGGCTCTATTTTATATTTCATGAAACTACTACATGATCCATATAAAAAAGAACCTAAAGCTTAAACCTTTTTGTGTATATAATAATATAAAGGTTTTGATTTAAAATTATTTCTCGAACCAAAACTTATATATTCTGATAATTGTAAAACAGTTTTGTCTTGTTTTTCTTTACTATCTTGGCGCAAACAACAAACTGATGCAAACAATAGTTCTTAAAATGAATATGATGCAACTAATGACGTCAATCTTCTTTTCTTTGTTTTACTACTTAAAGTATAAAAATTTACCTTACCAGATGGAACAGTTGCTTACAGGGCTTGCCAGATGGAACAATTGGATAAGAGCAGAGTTTTTTTATTAATGGAAGCAGTTAATAGAATTTTCTTATTATCAATTACAAAATGAATTGATATCGATTCATTTTGTAGCCATTATTTGTTATTCTCTTCAAAAGGAATTTTAGAGCTTTTGCATATATACCTTTGTAAAAAATGCTTTATGAAATTAGACAGGTTATTATTTGCAGTTAATTTTATGTCATTTACAACTGTATCCAATATATTAGAATTAGCTAAGTTCAAGTTTTCTTGCACTAAATATGAATAAATATCAATGTTTTTCATGTTTTATCTATATAAAAACATGAACTTCATTTACAAAATCTTATAAATAGGTATTTTAAGATGTATTAATAATAAAACAAGTCTGTAACACTAATCTAGTCTCACTGAGACTCAATTATTACATTATGCAGTAGTGGTGTAGTGGTAGAGCGCTTGCTTCATAAACGAGTGGTTCTGAGTTCGATCACCACCACGGCCCTGGCAGTACCGCGCTCAACTCATTTCTCCGAGCAGCAGCCTTGTTCGTCAAGGTTCGTGTTTCAGAGTTATAGAGTTGAGAGAGGGTTATAACCACAAATAAGTAGCCTCCTCGTCTATAGTGGCCTTCTCGGCCTTGAGGAGGTGAATTAAAATAAAAAAAATTTAAAAAAAAAAAAACATTTAGAGAAAAATAAATATGTTTTTGCCACATAAAATCGTATTAACCTGCTTATTTAACCTGTAAAAATCAATGATAAAATTTTTTAATCTTATAATTATTATTTAATTATGAGATTTTTTAAAAGTAAAAAGAAAAAAAAAATTAAAATTTATAAGTGACAACTTTAAACAGCGAAGGTCCCTTTAATAAACTTTATGTAAGAATCGTTAAAGTTTTTGTTGAGAAGAGAAAAAAAAAACTTATTTGAAAGCCTTTTAAATTAAATAACTTTGATCTTTACTAAAGTTTATATTGTTGAAATGCATTTAAATAAATTAACAAATTACAGTTAATAATTTTTTATAAAAACATTAATGAATAATATATATTTTTTATATTTATACAAGTATTTATTTTTTATTATATATGAATTTAAATAAAAAAAAATTATATCAATTTTTTAAACAAAACGATTTAATAATTTTTTCTTTTCAAAGAATTGTTAAGAATCTTTAAACTTTTAAACATCATCTACCTTTCAGCTTATAGAATTAACTCTAACTTCCAATCTTTTTTAGAAACCATATACCAAATTCATTGCAAAATTAGCATCTGCTAAGGTTGCATCTCTATATTGTGCTCTACACTCTCTTACTCTGGATTCTATTCTTTATTTCTGTATATCTCAAATACTGTTGCCATATCTGGGGCAGATCTTTTAATGATGCTCTTTCTATTTTAGAAAAGGTGCAAAAATGCATTGTAAACATAACCGGACCTGGTCTTGCAGCCAACCTCCAACAATTATTGCATCATTGTAATGTTGCTTCTCCTTCTCTTTTCTATAAATAATGAGCACTGCTCTAAAGAGCTAGCGTTTTTTATGCCATGCATTTTTGTGTTTCTCTTCATTATTTAAGTCTCATCCTTTTAAGACTGTTCGTAAGTGCTCCAAAAACTCTTATTTGTTTAACTTTTTTTCCTTGAACATCAGTTATTTGGAATTCACTTCTTTCTTCTTGCTTTCCTGATTCATATAATTTGTAATCTTTTAAGTTGCCTGTTAATAGTTATCTTGCTCTATAAACTTCATCTTATCTCTTCCAGTAATTTGTAACTTTAATAGTGGTTCCTTGCAGTTTTGTTGGAAGCGAAGATGTTGAAAAAAATAAAAATATATACTGATACCTAATAATACATTTTTAATACCTAATTACATTAATGAATTTGATAATAAAAATTCTAGTAATTCCTAGTAAATAACTTAAAAATATGTAAAAATATCAATTTATTACTTTTGACACCACCCTGCCCAAACTTAGACATCATTCACTTAGACCAAAAGCAGCAATATAATTTATTTTTAAAGTAAAAGTAAATTAATAATATAAACAGGAAGTAAAAATAAACCTGGTTTTGGAGGAACAATGTCAAATAGTTTATCATTTATTTTTATTTTAAAATTCTGCTGAATAAGCATATCAATGGGTGTGGCATTCGCAATACGTGTTCCATCCATAGAGTATACAACTACACGATCAACACCTTTATCTTCTTCTTGAATAAAAGAAACAAGATCTTTCACATTTTGAGAGACAGGTCGCAGCGAAAACTGACAGTTTTCTTGACGTGAAGGAAGAGGAAGTGTGAAAACAGCAAAACCATTACGGTAAATGCAAGAAGCATCATCTAAATCAGAAAATAAATACTTAATTTTTCGACAAAATAAATAACAATATATGTATAAATATACATGCACACACAGATGTGTGCATGTATATTTATACATATATTGTTATATAGATTGCAGGCGACCAAGATTAGCTAAATTATTACTCTCAGCCGCCCGCCAGACAACTGACCAAATTCCGAAAATATATATATATTTATATACATACAGGGTTGCCACTATAATTTTAAAAGTTTTTCCCTGAGTATCAATAAGTTAATAATCATTATCAATAAGTTTTTTCTTTGCTTTTAACAGTTCTAAAACTAAATCTAACTCTTTTGATTCTTTTTCTGTTTCGTTGCATTTTCTTTTTAAATGCAGTTGCTTTTTTAAGCATTGTTAAATCATTATTTTTGTTAGCATCTTCAACAGATTGAATAAATTCTTTGTTTAATGTACAACATGCTGTTACAAGTAAATTTTTTTTTTCTACTTCTTTAATTTCTTCTAATACGATTACTCTTTGATGGTTTGATTTCACTCTTTCTTTAAATTAGCCTGCTCTGTTAAACTGATTTGGTACTGTTGTCTGACTGACTTTACTGATAACATTAATGCATTTGAGATATTAATAGTGTCAGTTTGAATGTTCTGAGAATTCATATGATCTTTTATAATGCGATGAGAGACTATTGAGTTAGACTGAATATTTTCATTTAAAATTGTTTTGTTTACGATGAAACCTCTTTCTACAAAAGCTTGACCATGACTAACGATTAAAATCATTTTGATAATATAAGAAATTTTTTATGATCGGCTATATCTAGTTGATGAAAATAGAAGATATCTAAACAAGTGGTTTTTTATCAAAGCTAAGACATTTTTTTATATTTATTTGTATATCATTTCTTAAAAATATTGAATACTAAAGCATGACATTATCACTTTATGTTGCAGATATAATTTTTAAACTGACAAGATAATGTAACAATTCTTTTAGTTTATTTTGACTAGATTCAATTGTTAATGTTTTGAGATTGATTGGTTCGAAAAAACTTGCATTTGCTATGATTGCAGAGTCAAGTGGGATGCGTTTAAGTAAACTTTCCATGTTTTTGTGAGAATTATAACACATTTATTTCTAAACTGATTTGTCTCATTAAGAGTTATAGTATCTTTAACAAGGAGTTCTTTAATTGAAACTTCAGCCGCAAAACCAATAATAAAATCTTTCCTCGGTAGCAAATTTTCTTTTTTATAGAGATCTATCTTTTTTAAGTCACTACCTTTTTTGCAGCTTTGAATTACTGAAGGTTTAATATATAGAGCTAAAATATTTGTTATTAATTCTCTAAGATCAGTGTACATGTATGGAATCATTGGTTGATCAGTCTGATAGAGTATCAAGTAGGTTTTAAACAAGCTGGCAACATAACTAAAAAATTGTAACTTTGAAACTGTCAGGAAGTTATTTGATGCTTTTTGAACATTGAAAAAACTTTTTGAGGAAGGCTGTTTAAACTTTGATAATTTTTCCCAAAACCTAACTAATTTTACAATGTTGTCCCATTTTTCGATTAAGTGATCAGCAGCAATTTGGTCTTCAATCCATCTTGTTAAACAGAAACTTAATGGGTACAGATTTGAGCCAGTAACAGTTATAGTCATCCCTCCTAGCTGGAGTTTCATGGAGTATTTGGTATGTTCCCTTAAGAATACTTTTTAGATTCCATGATGTAGACTCAGAACCTTATTTAAAAGCTCCATGTACTATATGCAAACTACAACACCCAATGTCAAGTAAAGAATTTAATTCGCACTCATTTTGTATATAGAAAGTTCTTTAAAAAATTTCCAACTTGTATAAGGCCCATCCATAGATACTTGGATTATTTTTGAAAAATCTAGACTTTTTATTTCTTTATTGAAATTTTTTAGAATATGCGCAGCAGAAGAATGGCCAAGAAAAACTGAATTCAAATATCGCAAATTAACCTTATTTTCTAAAGTATTCCAAAATCTAACAACAATATCCATTTGACAATTTTGTGTAACTTTATTTAGACTTTCATCAAATGAGACAACATAACATGGCGAATTTTTGATACTTTCAAGAAGTAATGATTTAAAATATAGTGCTAATCCATAGTTAATCATATATCCTATTTTTGTTCTTCCTGATGTTAATCCTTTTGCCACTTTGCTATCTGGAAAAATACTAGTAAATAATTTACTCAAATTAGCAGATGCATTGTTTGACAATTCATTCATAACAGTTGCAAGAAGCCATCTTATTTCAGATCTTGTTTCTTCATTGGAGTAACAACAAGTTCTAATGTTTTTTGACCAATTGCCAGGGGAGTGTTGGTTTGAAAAAGTGACTTTTGGATTTAGCTAAAACATTAAGTTGGTGCTTTATACCTTTATTATGACTCTTAACTGCCTGAACTCCCATGTTTGACAAATTAAAAGTTTTACAACAGCTGCTACATCTAGCAACTTTATTGTTATCAGTCTTAGCAAGCCATTCTTTATACTCTGGGTGATTAAGCCAATCATTTAAAAAAATTGTTTGATCTATTTTAATTATTAATAAAAAAAATTCTTCTTACAACCATATTACATATATTTATAGATTTAATGATAAAAGGTTATAAATTTATATATAAAACATATTTATATAACTTATTAAATCAATCTTTACTCAGTATTTTAGTATTTCCTAATAAAGCCCATAATAAAAATTCTTCTTAAAATAATTAAATAACTTAATTATAAAATATAAATTCAAATTTAATATTGAAAATAAGCAAACCATACAAAATTAACATTAAATGCAAAATCTTATAAAAAATTATGATAATATATATTACGAATTTATCATAACTTAAATTATTGTTAATAATTTAATAAAAAATTTAACTTAAAGATTCAATTTTAAAAATTTTTTTTCAAAATTGAAAAAAATTTTTCCCTGAGTTTTCCCTGAATATTAAATAAATAAAAAAAATCCCTGAGTTTTCCAGGTTTTTCCTGGGATTCATACTATTTCCAGGTTTTCCAGGTTAAGTGGCAACCCTGTAGATTTGATTTGTTGAAAGCCATAGTAAACATAAAACTCCTTATAATGAAAATGTCATAAGGAAATAACAAATAACTATCTTAAGCTAGAAGTTTATTCGGCTTTAATATAAACACATTGCCGTTTTCTTTTTTTTAAAGCGATTCTTGTCTAGAAAATTTAAGGCACATTAAACGTTAGATATTCCAAAATGAGCCCAGCATAAAATTTTCTTATCCAATAGTTATTAACTAAGTAACATTTTAGTTGTGTGCAATGTAACAGTTCCTGTTACCAAAGAAAGATCCATAAAATCATTGTGATTACAGGGAAAACATTTTTAGAAACAAGAAAAAATTAATTATGCTAAAATGTATTGTTTTTTTTTTTTAAGCATTTGTTATAAATATTATATTCTTGTATAAATTTTTATAAATATCATTTAGGAGGTAATTTGAGATTAAATACTAGAGTAACCAAATCTGGTCAATCATTTGCAATCTGACCTGGATATAAATTTTCAGACATATCACTCCATTTTAGGTTGAAATTAAAATGATAAAAAGATTTGTTTTTATTTTGTTTTTTTCTAATAGTTGTTACAAGTTTCATTTATTTATAACTACAATTTCATACAAACAGTGCAAAAAAACTATCAATAATTTTAAATAACTTGACTAATTTTAAATATTTGCCTACTAGTCATAAACTTGTTGTTCCTTCTATGATCAATCTAAAAAAATTATTGATAATGAAAAAACTCTGAAAAAACAACTTTGGCACTAAAAAGTCATTTATTTCATAATTTGTAAAGCCTAATGTTGACTCTTCCCTCTTCATACACAGCTCAGAAATTTAAGGTTTAAGTTTACTATCGGAGAACCCAAAAAATGTTAATAATTATAGAAAGTGAGGCATCTGGACACTTCATTTTCATATTTAGAAAAATCTTAGAGGTATCACATTTTTAGAAAATTGACATTGAAAATCTGCTTAAAAGACATTTTTTTTCGATCATCAGATATATCAGGTAATATCTGATGATAGCCATAGGCGTGAAACTCAGAGTCATGTTTCTTTAACTACCAGGTGTTATTATTTAATTTTTAAAGAATATAATTTGCTCTACTCTGTATTGTGCACTCTATACCAGTATTTATCAAAACAATTATACATATATATATATATATATATATATATATATATATATATATATATATATATATATATATATATATATATATATATATATTTGTTTCATGATTCTTCATCATGTAAAGACAATTAGATAATAATTACACTTGTTAGATAATAATTGCTAGATAATAGTCGTTAGATAATAGTTGTTAGATAATAATTAGTTGTTTTCAAACCTTATAACGTACTAACGTACAGTTGTTTTCAAACCTTAAACGTACTAGGTTTGCCTTACACTAGTGTAAGAGGCAAACTTCCCAGTTTGCTTCTTATACTAGGCATGTTAGAAGACCAGTCAATCAGCGCTACAATATCAGATATGTAGTCCCTACTGTAAAACAGGCTCCAACTACGATGGTTTAGGGCTGCTCTAGCGGAGCAGGCCAGGGCGGTATCTGGTTTATGCCAAAGAACACCACCATTAATGGAGCAGTGTATATCAATATTCTTAAAGAAAAGCTACCTCAGCATATGGCTAGTAGCAACTGCACCACTTTCCAGCATGATGGAGCTCCCTGCCACTGCACTGGAGAAGTTAGCCAGTGGCTAATAGGTCAACACATCGATATCTTAGGACCTTGGCCTGGCTCCAGCCCAGACCTTAATCCAATAGAAAATTTATGGATGATGATGAAGCGGAAAGGTGCTAAAAAGAATCCTAGTTCCGAAAACACCTTTAAGAAAAAGATCACGACTGTTTGGACTCAAGAAATAACGCTGGAATATTGCTAAAAATTAGTTGATTCAATGCCTGAGAGGATAAGGGCTGTGATAGCCAACAAAGGGCAGCCCACCAAATATTGACTTTTGAGACAATCACGCCTTTAAGATGCTTTTTTACTAATAATTTAATCATATTTTATAATTAAAGCACAAATTAATTGTTATTGGTGTTAACTGCTTGTTATATTCAGGTTCTAAAAGCCATACTATAAAAAAATGCAGCATTCTCATATTTATGGCCATGACTACATACATATATATATATATATATATATATATATATATATATATATATATATATATATATATATATATATATATATATATATATATATATATATATATATATATATATATATATATATATATATATATATATATATATAAAAGCCTTGCAACAAGGCAAAATTTTACACAAATCAATGTTTGCAATGTTTATACAAATGAAAAAAGTCTTGCAACATCATAATTACTTCCAAAAACAACAATACTTCCAAAAACATATTTTTACCAAAAACAAGTTCAATTATTTTTATTACATTGTATAATCAATTTAAACAGATGTACTATTAATATTTGGTAGGATATCCTTTGTTTTTTAACACAGCACTAATTCGTTTGGGCATGGATTTGGCAAGATTTTCACATAGCCCTAATGTAATTTATGTACACCATACATGACGAATAGCATTTTTTAAACCATCTAATGAACTGCAGTTCTTAGCAGATACACGCTTCTTGATTAACGTCCAAAGATTTTCAATTGGGTTGAGATCTGGAGAATTTCCAGGCCAATCAAGCAACTGTATGTTTTTTAATCCAAGCCACTGCTTCACAGACTTCGCAGTGTGGCATGGTACTGAATCATGTTGAGAAATTGTGCACTGATGAATAATCATGAAATTGATTAGAAATTCATCCAAAACGTTGAGGTACTTTTTTGCATTCATAGTTTCTCCTTTGAGCAAAAGGTAAAAATCTTTAAGACCATGAGCAGATAAACAACCCCACACCATTGCAGAAGGTGAATGTTTCACAGTTTTGCATGTGTATTTAGGATTGGTAGGATTAGAACTAGTAGGTCAATGAACAAAAAGCGTAACATTAGAGAACTGACAAAACATGGACTCATCACTACACATCACCTGTGTCCACTGCTCTTCTGTCCAATCTTGATGCTAGGACGTCCAGACCTCTTTTTAGGAGACAGGGGAATAACCTGCTTTACAACACATCAAATTGTAGTGCGTTCAACCATGTAAATTGTTGCAATGTCTGTATGAGACATACCACTTTTAGCAAGACGTTGAATGCATGCTTTTTCTTCTTTACTAAGCTGCCGAATCTTAGTCATGATTTTTACTGAATCAACTGTTTAAGCTTTAAAATTGTCTTTATAAATATATTTATACTTAAACTTTTTTGAAAAAATGTTTATAAAATTTAAAAATAATAAATACAACACTTTTTAATAAACTTGATAAAGTTCATTTATTAAACAATCATTAGTATTGATTTGTTACTTATTTTAAAAGCACTTTGCATAACTTTAACAAAACGCTTAAAAAGATTTATTTCAAACATGATTAAAAATGTAACAAAAAGTTTCGCTTTGAGTTTATTAGTGTTTTTATTTTAGTGCTTATATAATTTCTTTTTCGCAAAGAATTTTTTTTCGTTTTTTTTTTGGTGAGGAACTTTTTTTTGTTAGTTTTTTTTTTAAAACATTTTTCCTAGTTAAAGTTTAGCTTAGCGTTTTTCAGCAAATTTCTGAAATGTTTTAATCATCAAAACATATAAACAATCGTGGTCAAGTTGTCAAGAAATAAGATCATAGCGCTTGATCCAAGTCTGTATAAACATATATATATATATATATATATATATATATATATATATATATATATATATATATATATATATATATATATATATATATATATATATATATATATATGTATATATATATATATATACATACACACATTTTATGTAAATGGTGTTGCTTTTTTTTGATATTAAAAAAAAAGCATGTTTACATCCATAATCAAAGTACACAAAAAATTATAAAAAAATTAAAGGTTATAAAAAAACTTACTTAATTTATGACTCAGTGATATCAATCTTTTTTGCAAACAACTCTAAAAAAAAAATGAAAAAAGAAAAAAAAATTTAGTAATTGTATTATGTAAAATTTATACTTATTAACATTTTATTAAAAGTCTTCACAAAACAACCATAAATTAAAAGTTTATGATTTTTCTTAAACTAATTATAATTCAAACTAATTATTAGATTAGACAAGTTGTTTTAATAATATCAGTGCAAAAACTATAAGGGATATTTCAAATGTATTATTTAATATAATACAATTTTTTTAATTTTTTAAATTATTTTTGAACATTGTTTATAATGTAATATACTTTTGTGTTTAGTTTAAATTGTCTTTTATTGCTTTTTTTTATTGCTTTTTTTATAATGTAATTTTGTGCTCTGTTTTGTTATGTTTTTATTTTTGTTTTTGTTGTTTTTTGTTTTTGTATTCTTGTGTATTGTTAATTGGGCATTGTAGTGTATAGTTCATATTGCTATATGTTTTAGTGTGTTGTTTGCATCGCTATGTATTTTCTTTAGTTTTACGTTGGTTGGACATATCTAAAAATGTATATTTTTTTAAATATATGTATATGTATCTATATGTGTATGTATACATATGCATGTGAGTAAATGCACGTATGTGTGTGTATTTATGTGCAAATGTGTGTGTAACTATGCATGCAGGTAAGTATGTGTATATATCTTTACATTTATGTTTGTGTATGTGTAAACAATATTAAACTTTCTTATTTTTTTAATGCTTATTTGTTTTTCTTTATTTTATCTTTAATTTTCATCATATTTTTTGTTGTTTTTGTTATAGTATTATTTCTTTTTATTTTAAATATTTACATTAACCACAAATACTAATATTTTTAACTATACTATTATTATTCTTATTTTATTATTTTCAATTTAAATAACTGTATTATGTGATTGTTAGTTTTTAACTTTTATCAGTCAACTGTTTGTAACTAACTTATATGTGTATTATGCTATTGTGTTTATAGAAACAAGTGACTTATTATTTTTATTATTATTGTTATTATAATTATTATTATAATTGTTATTGTTGTTTTATTATTAATGCGATTCTAATGCTTATTACTATAAATACTATTTTTACTACCCTTACTATTTTTATAATTATTACTAATTATATATATAAAGATCTATATTTTTGGTGCTTACTTAAGATTAGTACAAATTATTTTTCAGAATATATAAATATGTGATATTTTTCAGAATATATGATAGAACATATTATATTATATTATTTGTGATTTATTTGTCTGATTTAAGTTTTCGATACGTGTTAAAGTCATTTTTGTGGTACTTATGTGAGTAAACCCATTTGAGCCAGCAACAAAGCAATTTTTTTATAAAAAAATAAAGGCATTATTTGCAGTGAAATTAAAGTGAAATTGCTGATTCAATTTATTTTTTAAACAACTATACTTCATCGTCTACCATACCCATTATACTTCATTGTCTGGCAAACAATTTAAATTCTACCTGTTTAATAGCAAATGATTTTTGAAGTAATGATACACTTCTTAGATTAGTAAATCTAAAAACATGCATGATTTCCGTGTTGATGTTTACTATTTGTTTCCTACTTGAATTTTTCCCGAAAGAAACGCCTGGACTTCTTTTCGCAGATGCTTTTTACATTTCTGGTTAATAAAATATTTGTTACTCAGTTGCCGTTGGAAGGGCCGTGCCGTTAAGAGCCGTTGTCTTTTAGTTTATTCATTTTAGGAAGGCTTATTTAAAATTTCCAAAATAATAATAAGCGGAAAACAGTATGAGAAGTCGAAGTGCTAAATATCCCTGGTTCAAAACCACCTAGGGGCAAATTTTATCGGAATAGAAAGGAGGAAACATCGGTATAGAAAAGAGGCTCGAACTTCCTTTCAAATGCTCTTCCGCCGTGCTCTGCGATAAGACCGTAAAGAATTCTTGGAGGGCACCTAAAAAAAAAATTTGAAAAAAAAAAAAGGATTTTAAAATTGGTCTATATAGCTTGTGAAAACTTTAACTAGGGTCGTAAGTTTTTAAGCATTTTAAAATTAAGTATGCTCGAGAGCCAAAGCGGATTACCCATCAGAAAAACTAGTTTTTTTTCTTTACAACAATCATTATTATATGTTTCAAAAAAATAATATTTCTCAAGTTTATACATTTGTACATCCCACATGTTTACAATATCAAAATAAAGTTAAAAATGATTTTATGCGCATGCACGCTTGACAGAGGGTTGAAACAATTTTATTAACCATGCATTTAAGAAAATATTCGCACGTCTGTCGCACGACTGGGCTACTAGGGATTTGCTTAAATTAAAATTATGGAGTCAAGGAAACTCGCAGAAGACTACAAGAAGTCCTTTCGTTGAGAAACTTTATAATGAACTAAAAAATTAAAAATTAAATTTACAAAACATACATTATAATTAACCTTTTGAGGTTCACAGTTCAGTAATATTTTACTTTGTATAGATGTTAACTTTATTATTATTATTTTTTCATTTTTGCAGTGTGTCCAAATGACAGTTGCCCGTTAAAATAGGCCCGTGAAAAAATCATCATTAGTATTTATTTCAAAAATACTAAAAATAAACAGAGAAAGAAAATTTTTTTATAACTATAATATAAAGTGTTCGATCAATCACAGAATACTATCGATATTTTTGTATTTTAAATTGTATACTTGTGTTCAACATTTATCATACTACTGTATTTCATTTATCAACGTGGTCGCTATTTTAAATGTCAAGTTAAATACAGTATAATTTAGTTAAATAATTTTTTCTACTAATATTATATAATATATTTAAAAGTAATCATGCAATTTACTTAAAATGTCCATGTCAATTGATAAATGTGGGTAAATCAAACTAAATGTTTGCTCTTATCTTCTCGTACTTATTGCTCCTAAAGATAGATTTAATTCATTTGAATCAAATATGATCAGACACCTTATTTAAAACAATATATTTTTAAGAAACAGTAAACAGAAAAGCCTCAAAACTTTTTTTTTTAATATTTTAGTTTACATTTGTTAGTTCGTTTTCACAATATAATAAGAGTAGATAAAATTTAATATAATTTATAAAGTAAGCAAATACTACTAACATTTGAAAAACTAGTTATCTGAAAGAATATCAGTAAGATCGTATTGTCAAAACCTCAGTGGCGGATTCAGCATATTTGTGGGGGAAGAGGAGGGCGAGCTGCCCCTCGCGTTTTCTAAGTCATTCAACTGGTGCCCCCTAAATTATATATGCTTCTCATTACAAAATTCTGCGTTTATTTTAAAGAAAATAGAAAATTAGGTAATAACAAACCATTGTTTGCATACCTGCTTTACAAATTTGCACGCATTTATGGCAGAAAACAAAACGTCTCCATTTTACTTTTAAAATATATCTTTTATAATCATGATGTACACAGTCGATGGATTTTTAACGTGGTTTAGTGTATCAAAACTACCGTGACTGTTTAGTGACGTTCATAAAACTACAACAATTTTGCAGAGGGTAAAAGATTTTTTTTTAAAGAAGAAAAACATAAAATTATAAATTATCTGATTTCAAAATTGTGAAGCAATTTAGATTTATTTATTACATTAAAAGATGTGTATGCATTTTTATCTCCAGCAATGATGACTAAACTACAAATTAAAGACGTAAATCCGTTCTTAATAGAGAAATAGATGACATCATGTTTTTCTAACTTTTCTATCAGGAGTGGGAATTCTTTACATCATTTTTTTATAATCAATTTGCCTTATTACTACCGATGGAGAAATATTATAAAAAGTATTTTAAAAATAATTTTAACCGTAGCAGATTCAAAAACCTTCTGCGCAAACTCGTTTTTTTGAAATGATAAAACTTTTCAAAAATCAATTGTTGCGACAGATTAAAAAATCTTCTTTTTAAGGTGGTACCCCAAAAAATAAATATCAATTTTGAAAAAAATTTTTTTTAGTTTGGTTCATTATTTCTTTGTTGACAGAATACAAAAACTTTTAATGCAAAATTTTAACTTTGAGTAATAATAATTTGGGTTTATTTATCAATCAAGTAGTTTGTAATGTCCATAACAACGCCATAGCAACCAATATATAAACGAAAATATTTCCAATGTATAATTGGAAAAATCGATATATTTTAAATATTAAAAAATATTTGAGTATTATAGCCTACCTTAATTTTTAATTTTTTTTTTGTCGTAAGTTCAATGATCATTCCAATTCTAATTTTAATTTTTCAATCGCAAAACCTCAAAATATACTTTTTCACTAGTTTTCAAAGTTTATGAAATGATAAATTTTTATATAATGACACAAAAGTCCTGAAACTTACACAGATTGTTTTTCATATTATTAAAATTCATTTAAGAAAAGATTTTTTTTTCAAAAAATTTTTTTTTCATATTATTAAAATTCATTTAAGAAAAGATTTTTTTTTCAATGCATTTTAGATCTTAAAATTTTGTTATTTTAGTGTTGTTTAGCTCGCTTACCTTTTAGTGTTTCATGCATAATTTCTAAAATATTCATTTGTTTTCATTTATTTTCTCTCAAATGAATTATGTTACCATGGTTAAAAAATGTTCCAAATTTCATACTAAAATGATCAGTAGATTTTGAGTAATTACTTCACAAAAATTCAGTTGTTTTTTTTTGGGTAATCGAGACAAAGATTTTCAAGTTTGGTAGTATTTTTGAAAATTATTTTAAATAATGTATTTTAATTTTAAAAATGAAAGCGTGCTCTAGTTCCAATCAGATTTTAGTTTATTTCTTGGGTACCAAGAAATGACCTTTATAAACTAAAATATTAAAATAAAAATATAATATATAAATAAAATATAAAAAGTTAAAAAAACAAAGTAACAATTTTACATAGGGCTCAAAAATATGTGGCTAGAGGGTCAGAGCCCCTCCCCCAACTTGTCACTTGGGGATTAAAATCTTAAAAACCTTTCTTTACAAGGTGTACTATACTACAAAAAAAAAATCCTCATATTTGAAAACCCTAAATTTGCAGGCCCTGCAAATTGTCAAGCGTGGCTTTCCTCCATGCTTACAAACTACGAATAAAAATCTGTGTAACTTGGGGTGAAGATCTTGTTTGTTGAGTTCTAAATTTTTATTTTAAAGTCTTTGAAAATTGTGTCATGCAAGTAAATATAGTTCAAACACTAAATTATTCTAATACAATAACACACATAGTCAGATCAAAATTTATTATAGTGAGAAATTTGGCCTCTAATGGACAATCATTCCAAATATCACAGCGCCTTTCCAAACACTCGTGGCAATTACCAGTTAATGCAAATTTTAACTTTGTTATATCGTCAACAATTTTTCTGCAAGAGAACTATGGTTTGGCCTAGTGGTCTACAATAAAATTGCACCCCTCTATAATTGATTCTTTTTTGTCCGAGTCAAAAGCATATATTTCAAGCATTAGATAGCTCTTGAATTCCATCGTGCATTTGAAATAAGCTCTCGTTTGAAAAAATGAATTGCGGATAAATTTATTGTGTTTCTATAAGACTTGTATCCTCTACATAACAAGTCCAGCTCCGTATAATCATTCTTGCCATACTTTTTACTTTTAGTAACTGGCCCGTTAGGCTTTTTTCAATTATTATTATAGACGATGTTCATAGGGAATTAAAATTTGAATTCATAAAATGCTTAAGAACAGGTTGAGAACATGAAGTTGACAAGGATGATACACTAAGCCAATCACAATTTTTGTCAAACATTTAATTACTACATTTTAAGAACCTGTATTTACTGCAGTAGTGTCACATATGCAGTAGTGAACACAAAACTAGATCGCTGAAAAAATATGACGCAAAAAACTTTAAGTCAATGGTGCAAACGCATTTTTTGAGGAATAACTTTGAAAATGTGTCAAAACGTAGAAAATAATGCGTTTTACTAAAAAAATGAAAAATATAGCCATAATTCATTTTTTTTCAAAAATAAATGCAAGTGTTCCAATTAAGGCGCTGTTCCAATTTCGGCAACTCTCCCTATATATATATATATATATATATATATATATATATATATATATATATATATATATATATATATATATATATATATATATATATATATATATATATATATATATATATATATATATATATATATATATATATAAAAGAAGATATATAAATCTATGCATACCTGCTTATATTATCATATATAAATCACCTTCTTTTAGTTTACGCTTACTCTGGTTGATAATTTAATTACCCTGTTTATTCAGATATTTTTATAATTTGCTGTTCCTCCACATATGTCCCAATCTATGTTTAGGGAGCTTTTTCTATTCTTTTATAAAATAGTTGTTATAGAAAGTTTCTAATATTAATTAAAAACAACTTTTTTTTTTTCCACAAATTTTTAATTTAATAAAAAGACAGACTTTTAAAACCTTAAAACTCCCTGTGTAACCAGCATAAAGTGATAAAAACGTGGACTGCAAAAATAAAGCATATTCAAATACATTTTTACTTGTAAAAATATGCCTTGGAGAAAAATCATCCAACAAAAGTTTACTGATATTAAAAGTAACCATTTTAAAACATTAAACCACGCTTTACTTAGAAGTTATAACTTAAATACTAGAAACAAATGTACCGATCCGCAACTAGAGTTGTTAACTATGTAGAGTTGTTATATATGTTAA